AGGCCTTTGGCAAGAGAGCAGTGCCCCAGCAAGCTGTGTGGGTACATCGTGATGCAGATGGCTGGCGTTTCATTTTCTGCGCGAGCCCTAAATTAGAAAGTGCTCCATGGTTTGTTATTCAGAAGGGTTTTCTTTAACTATCAGGTAGGTGATTAGAGAGCTATGTCTGCACAATTTACAGTGGGCTAGAAATAGACTATGTTGATGAGTAAGGACTAGCAGATGTGGCTTTGAGGCTATTGGCAAGTTGGGTGCCCTTGTGTACTTCAGCTCCTTTGGTGGACTGGTGCTTACAGAAGAAATTATGGGTGATAGAAGCCATGGTCTGTGGCCTTGCTTGTTTTCTTGGTTGATGAAAACTGTTTCTCTCTGAGGTCAGTATATGAATCCCAGCATTCTTTCATTATCTTAAAGCACTTTGGACCGAAAATATTAATTCTTGCCAAGTCCAATTCACAAGAAAAAATATTTTAAATGGGATTAATTTGTAAAAAGCCTTTTTATACTTATATTTTTGTTGTTTAGGAAGAGAAAGTAAAATACTTGATGAATACACTAGCAAAATTGCAAGTGATATATTTAATTGGAAGCTTGACCAAAATAGAGTTGAACTAGGCAGAATGTGAGAACCAGAAGGAAGGAAAAATTGCATCTGAATTGTCAGAAATTAAACGTCCAAGTAGCATGAAGCAAAGGAACACTGCCACAGGACAGTACGTTTAAGGTGTGGGTTTTTTATATATAGTTTTTCACTTTCTTTATAAAAGTGCAAGTTATATGTGATCCTAATTTATACTAAACCTCTTCCCACAGGTTTTTCACTAGCTCTTCATCATTAGTTCCTTGATCATGTTTTGGTTTTCTCTTACAGTGTCTATAGCAGATCTCTCATAGCAGAATGGACATGTAACGTGTCTATAGAATGGGCCCTCCACTACTTTGGAAAACTTTTATATTGCAAATACTGAAAGAAATCAGAGATTGTGTTCTTTCGGGGTTACACCAGTCATGTCAGTGGAAGTTAGAAAAATGCATTATGAAGGATGCCTTAAGATTTTAAATGTATCTTTGGCAATACTAGGAAAGCAAATCTGTACCTAACACTTCTTGAGGTGCTCAGAATTCCTTTGGGTTGTGATCGGAAGCAATACCATGGTGCCCCTTTGTCCACCTTCTCCTGAAGGAGATGTGAGAGCACCTGTCAAAGCTATTGCCTGAGCTGGGCGTCTGCCTCTGCAGTCAGATGGTGCTGATGAAACCTGTCCCTGCACATATAAATAGTCTGAGTGCAAACAAGCCCAGCCGTTTGCTTCATGACTTTGGCAGTCTGGTATTCCACCACCCTGCTCTGACGAGGTTTATTTGCCATCCTGTTCCCCCCTGTTTATGTGCATCTGAATGCTACACAATTTAAAAATACCTGACTTTATCCCACTCTCACTGGTCTAGGCTTTCTTTTTGATTGCATCTGAACCTATTTATGAGTTTACATATGTTATTCTGCAAAGTTGTGATAGCTGGAAGGTGTAAGTGTTAACTTTAGTGCTCACAGCATGCCTTAGGTCTTGTATATACTGGTGTATACAATATGCTAATAGTTATTGCCTTAACCACATTAAAAAGCCATTGAGGTTATTTTTTACAGCACTGTGCTTGTGGGGTTTTGCTAAAAACATTTGCATGACTTTTTTTTTCCTTTTGTTTTTGTTTTGTTTTTCTTCTTTTTTTCTTTTTTTTTTTTTATCCCAGTGCCTTTTAATTAGAGGGGAGGTTTTTCAGTTCTTTAGAAGAGAAGGCAGGTGAGCGTAAACCTCAAATTCTGATTTAAAATAGCTATTTAGTTTACTAGAGATGAGAACTGAGAACTTCATGTCTTTTTCAAATGCTAAGTGACATTTTCTTATGGTTAGGAATGGGTTTCTCCTCCATTGATTTATGCCTATATTAAGTAATTTTTTTTTTTCCTTTGACTTCTTATGTGTTGATAACTAGCTGTTAATTGGAATCACTTTTTTAACAATGAGGCACATGCTGAAAATTAGTATGTCCATGGAGCAGCCTATAGTTCAATGCAATCTGTTTTCTTTAAAAGGAAGCATAAAGTTCTTTTAAAATATTCCCAATTAATTTTGTTTGATTTACTGAGAATTTAATGTTTTCATTGTTAAGAAATAGTTTAAAACTTTTAGGAGCAGTTCTGACCGTGCATAAATCACCACTTCAGACATAATCCTGAGACTGAATCTTTGTCTCAGCAGTGCAGTTATTACCCTTCAGAGTAACAGGTGAAGTAATAACACTGATTTCACTTTCTCAGGAGCCAGCATACTAGGTGGGTCCTCAGTTCCCCATGGCAACTCCGTCATCCAGCTCTGGGAGGGCATGGTCAATATACACATAAGTTTAATTAATAAGTCATTTTAAAGCTCTGTTTTTCCTAGATATGGAAGCACTTAACAATAGTCATTCTGAAGCTGACTTGGAATGAGTGACCTTCCTCCAGAAAGGTCTTTGTTCAGTGGGCATTTTTGTTAGTGACTCAGTGCTGAATCAGGCTTGTTAGCAAAGATGGAAATGGGGTAGAGTAGATCCTGCTACAGCAGTAATCCCATGGTGGTATCTTGGGGAGCAAAGGTTGTACGTTCCAGATTTAGTGATGCATAGTCATGTTTTACATTGATTTCTCTTTTCGGTCAGCCAGGTGAGGGTATTGAATAATGGCTTCAAGGCATCTAGGACTAAAGTTTTCTTGCTTTGTCTGGTAAGGATGATTAGGAATTTTATTTGTAGCACAAAGTAGCTACCTCCCAACAACTACAATGCAAGTTTCAATGGGTATGTTTTTTTGTGGTGTTTTTTTTCTTGGGGGGGGGGGTGGGGGGAGGGTGTTGGTTTTTGTGGATTTTGTTTTTTTTTTTCTTGGTTGGTTTTGGCTTTGTTTCTTTTTCTGTTCATTTTAATTTTTACCTGGACCATCAAAATTTTGCTCCATGATTCTATGCCTGAGCATTCCTGGCTGTGCCTGTGCTAGTGGTTAAAAAGCTGAGTAGTTTTTCATGGGTCTTCAAGGGCAAGTAGCACAGTTCATGTGGTTGAAATCCCTTCTGCCCAAGCAGGACAGACCTCTCTGTGCTGTTTAGAAGACCAGAACCTGGCCTGTGGTGTCCTTCAGAGTGCTTTCCTTCCACAAAGTGTACTCGTAATTAAGTCAAGCGAGCAGTCCTGTGGTTGGCCCTGTATCCTGGCCCTTCTGTTTGCCTAGTTGAGGCACAACTATTGTGACCAGGACATGGCTTATGATGGGTTGGACTTCCCAGAGAATGTGCAGCTCAGTTTTGGTGCAGAGGGGTACATCACTCGTCTTGGATACCTCACTTGTTCTGTGGCATCATCAACCTGTGCCACTTCCCTCACCCCAGCAGTCAGTTAAATAGGGAGGCCTTGATTTACAAGGTCACAGTTCCTTTTTTGTGATAGCACTGCGTACACTGGTATTTGATGAGATTTTAGAAATGAAATGGTCAAAATAATCAGGATTTATTTTGTGCTTTTATGTTTTCTTGCAGGTGTCTTGAGTTGTAAAGTCTGGATGGCCATTGTAGTCATTGAAGAGAAGTGTTAGGAAAGTCTCACATGTGGTCTCAAAATTTCTCTGTATTTGTTCTGTAAGTTGCAGATACAGCAGTTGAAAAATTGCATATGTCAGCATCTAGACCACGAAAGATTTTTGTCTTTTATCATGGAATGAATAGGAAAGTTTCGAAGGACAACTTTTTGATTCCTGAAATATTAATCATAGTAAAGCACTTCTTTTAACCAGTGGCTCCAGATGGGGAGTTCAGTTCCTTTTATCTTTTCCCAAATTGTCAGTTTGGCCATGTAGAAATAAAGTGATTCAGGCACAGAGAACAAAGTTAAACTAATGTAGAAAGGCTAATCATTTCCTTACACAGGAAGCCATTTTTCATTCTTCTTATAGAAATCATAAGGACCTTTTTTGTGGGGTAAACTATTTATATTTTAAGAGGCAAAAGTGGTCTTGATTATATTCTCCAGTCTTCAGTTCTGGATGTTGGTTTCTGTGAGCTGTTTTGGATTACTGGTGATGTGATCATTTGGGTCTGTAATTGAAATGGAAACGCTCTGTAATTCTTAGGGATGGCATGCTGAAAGTTTATGAGTAAGCTGCCCTGCGGTAGGGTGTAGTTTGGGACAGTTTTATGTTAATAGTGCAAATTACAGGCTGTGTGAAGCTTCCTTATTTCCAATAAAGTGCAAACTCCCAAGACACATGTTTAAGGAGTTACAAATAGCTGTGTGCACAACTGTAAGGCAGTTGGAGTTGACAGTTACGTTGGGAAAAAGGCATTTCTGTCAGCTAGAATATGGGCATGCCTGTGAAAGGGCAGTGATTTGAATAAATATTCAAAGAAACAATTTTAATGAGTTTTGATAGTCATAATGTTCTGTAGTTAATTTTGAACAAAAAAATTGCCAGGACTGACTGCAATTTGTACAGATTCTGTTTTGAAGGGCCTCTTATGATTAATACATGTCCTTATTTGTTCTTGGTGTGCAGACGTTTCTATCTCTTCACATACAGTAACGTGTGTAGTGTTGAAGAACAACATATGATGGTTTTATCAGAATATTATTGGTTTATTCCCATCTTCAGATGCAAAGTTGTCATTTCTTGAAAAAATTGAAAGGGGCTTTGCTTGCTAGCAGAAACTGTCATGGTCCTCCCTGCTGCTGGTGTGGGTAAGTGGTATACGTGTTTGTGTTGCCGGAAAAGGTGCCTGGACAAAAAGGTGAATTTTGGTGTTTATAAAGAGGAACCTGCTCCATGCTGTCTGTATAGGTCACAGTCTGTGGTTTCCAGGGCTTATTCTTTTGTTTGATATAGTGACTGTATTGTGAAGGAGAGAATTACTAAATAGGTTCATGTTAAAAGTGGGTTTTACTTCTGGGTCTTACTGAAGTGTTTTTTCCTTTTAAAGATGAGCTTGTGATTCTCACCAGGTTCAAGCCATCACCACCAGAAGGTATTGTACTAACCAGCATTAAGCCTTCTTCCCTTTTGTGTGTGTCCACTGCCCTTTTTTTTGATGCTGAGAGGCTCTTGGTAGTCAGACTTAAGTTTATATGGGTCATTGATGTCACATACGAGCCAGGCTTTCTGCAATGTGATTTGCAAGTTATGTGTGGACAGAACCAGCTGGGCATCTCTGTTCTGGGTGCTTGTTGCAGTTTTGGGTTGCAGCTCTTTCACACTTTCCTACATGACTTGGACGTATGTTTCTTTTACTGCTCCTATTCAGGAGCTTGTGAATGTATTAAGTATGTTGTACTTCTCAGTTAATGTTTTGCATTCTCTTTCTGCCTTCTTGTGTGCTGCTGTAGGGTTATTCAGTTTTATTTCCTGGATTAGAGATATGAAAAGGATTTAATTCCACAAATACGTAAGTATGTGTGGAATCAGCAGTGTTACTGGGAGAGCATTTAAAAAATCATTGAAACACAGATTGGTTTGGGTCGGAAGGGACCTTAAAGCGCATCCAGTTCCAGACCCCTGTCACAGGCAGGGATAACTTCCACTAGACCAGGTTGCTCCAAGCCCCATCCAGCCTGGCCTTGAGCACTGCCAGGGATGGGGCAGCCACAATAAAATGTGGCATTCTGGATTGTGCTTGTTTCTGAGGTTAAACGTTGACAGCTAAAGAAAGGAAAATCCAGGTTTGTTGCCGCAGGCTGTGGTATCAGTTCAAATGCTCTCAGCAGCACAGGCAAACTGAGCACTGCTGCTCCAGGGACAAGGTGCCAGGCTGTGTCTGCTGCAGAGGGTCAGGTGACAAAACATTTGGGCTTTCTGCTCATGGACGCTGGGCTCACTCCGTCTGGTGAAAGCAGCAGCAGTCGCCTGGTTGCCAGGGCTGTAGGTGAGCAGGCCGCAGAGTGGGATGACGATGATCCCTGGCTTTGGTCCAGCAGGGGTCTGCTGTCTTGATATGCTGCAGGGCTTGCATAAGCTTAGAGCCAGCCCTGTAGGAAGGTGTGGAGCCTCTCCTTGGGAACATTATTGCAGAAACAATTTCTCACAAAAGTTAATCTGAATATTTTGATAGTTGTTTTTTGGGTCAAGACTTCCATGTTGTTACTGCAGTGTTCTCCTGTTATGTGCCATTTGTGTCTCTTGCCTGCTGAATGTTTGTGCTGTGCTGGGAGGTGAACTGAATTCAGTTCTGTCCCTGTAAACCTTCACTGTGTTTGGTGTTCTGTTTTACAGCATAGTCCCTGTATGTAGCATTTATGATATATTTAGGAAGAATGATCCTAAGTTAATTATCTTCACACTAACTTTTTAGAGGTGACTTAATCTGGTCCTCACACATGTATCAGCATATGGAAACACCTTTCTGCAAGTGCATAAGTAAACCTGAAGTGTTCAACTTGTATTTACTAATACAGATTTTGGAGGCATAGTTTGCTTTAGCAGATGTGTGACAACCTCAAATGTCTTTAACATTCGGAAACTTCTTCATTATATGTTATATACTATTATATACCATTACCCTGTTTCTGATCACATCATATGGACAGTTATAAATTACTGAGACCATTTTCTGTAAGTGAACTTAAGCAAAAATTATAGGAAATAAAATGTTCTCAAAGTGTACTTAAGTAGCTTATTATAGATTTTCAAAGAGCCAGTGTATATTCTGCCTGGATGCAATTTTGACAGCAAATACTTACAGGTTAAAAAAAATAAAAGAAGTAGGTTTGGTTTATTGATAGGACTAATCTAACCATAGTTGACAGTGGTCCAGTCTAAGATGTGCCAGTCAGTGTGTTCAATCTAAGCTATATCCAGCAATACTTCCTTGATGGAGAAGGGATTGTGATGAATCCTGTTTTTGGAAGGAAGACCATTCTTAGGTGTTCTAGATGTGCTAAGCTGTTTTCCAAACTGCTTATCCTTTTCCATTGGGGTTGGAGTTATTTAGATGCCTGATTTAGGAGGCTGGTCTGTCTAATCAGCACAGAGATTGTTCTTTACAAAAACTTCTTGCAGCAGGAGCCTAGCTTATGGGCTCTGAATTGCTATCCAAAGGAAATTGGTGATAGAGTAGGTCCAGAGCCCCAAACCTAGCCAACATCTCAGTATGATTTAGGGATCTGAAGATATTCAATGTAGTTTTCCCCTACAATATTAATATTTAAATAAGTGTCCTTGCCCAGCTGACTATACTTGTTATTTTAAAGTTCAGTGCTGTTGTTAAAATTAAGGTAGGAGGTTTTGGGAGTTTGTTGTTGGTTTTTTTTTTTAAAGAACAAGAAGCCAAGTAATTAAAGTTGTTACTACTGCTCTTGATCCTGTTGTCGTGTCTCTTTTATGTGGGCATCTGTAATCCTACGTTATACATCGTTAATCCCTTAGCAACAATAAAACTATTCAATTTCTAGCAAGCAACTCCAGAGATAACTGAACTTTCATACTGAGGCAGTAAAGCTCCAGGGGCAAGGCCATCATGGGAGTAACCCAACAGACACTGGAGACAAGGAAGACAGGGTTTTTCTGTCACAGCTAAAAATAAGTTTATATGACTGCAAGGTTATAACCGGGTAATAAAGACTGAGTACACTGAAGGGGAAAAAATGCTGTGAGACACAACCATTCTTTCTGTATTTTCTGCTATAAGATCTTCTGGTTTTCTGTAGCTGAGTATTATTTTCCAGCTTTTGCTTGTTTGTAGTTCCGTGTCCGCAAGGTTCATGTCATTTTCAGATACAAAAATACTTTAAAATAAGTAATGTATTTATATGAATCTTATCTTTCTTTCAATGTTCCATAGGGGAAGAATGCAATGGACCTTTATGTGAAACTATTTCAACTGCAGGATCAGAAGTCCCTAGCAGCTCTGAGGTAAAGTAGAATACTGACGTTGTTAACATACTACTGGTAGGAAGAGAGAGGAACAGTTGCTGTGAAAGAGAGAATTACTTCTACAAATTACATTTCTTATAGATTGTCTTATACTTCCCCTTTATCCAGGTAAACTTTTTCTTTCTATAGGTTTTTTTTCAAGGAGCAAAACCACAAATGTCACGCTGATGCTCACTGAGTGTTTTAAGGGACTTACCAGTGTTAGTGCGACAACACAGCAGTGGTAGAAAACAGTATGGGCTTAACAGTGTTTCCAGTATCAGTCTTGAACTGAGAATCACGTGGTCATCTAATGTTCTGGCAGGTGGAAAAACATAATGCTTCTTCACAAACCTACCACTTTGTTTTATGCTGTGTGTTACATTGCTGGATTGACAGGGAAATAGAGGCACCCTTGCATTCCTCTGCTCTAGGAACTGCTTGACAGTGCAGCAAGACTTAAGAAAATGAAGATTTGAGTTACAAGAATACCTGTTCCCTGGAACTTGTGCAATATGAAAAACATTCATTTTTTCACAATACCTCTCTGCTTAATATCTACAGTCCACAATATCTTAAATAGGTAGCAGTGTGTGGTTACTATTTAGGGAAGAAACAGATTTAGAAACAGTATTGATAATGTGTTCTTGAAATTTGTATTTTATTTTAATTTCTGTTGTCCGATTTCTTTATTATGGTTGTTGTGCTTAGAGGAAGACAGGAAGAGTTTTAGGTAGGAAAAGGAATAGTTGCTCTGTTGGATTAGAGCCTGATACAGGCCAAGAGCACTCAACAGAAATTGACTGTTGAATTGAATGTTGGAAAACTGTAGCTGTTCTGCTGAACTTGTCCTCGCCTATCTGCAAGAGGCAAACTTGGAGATGGTCACTTGAACACAGAAGTGCTTCCTAGAGTATAGATTTTTACTTTGCTAGCACATGCAACTGTATCATTTAGATGTTTTCATAAATCTGCCTGTTCCATCTTAAAAATTGCTAGTAAGTTCACCTTGCTGCTTTCTGAATCTATTGTAGGAGTTGTAGTAATCTTACTCTCCAGGAAAGTAAGAAAAGGAAGGAAACGTGGGAGAAAGAGTGAAACGTGTTCTTTATGTAGAAGCATGGGATTTTAACCTTATTTTGTTCGAAGGGTGAAGGACTTATGATGAGGAGGGGAAGGAGGCTTTGATCTTGAGCACTTTCTTGTCTGGGAGGTGGTCTCCTTATGAAAAATGTATGGTTACCCTCTCAAAAATTTCTTTTTGATAACTTCATGCTGCCTCATTTCTTGTTTTCTGCTTATGCCTGTGCCTTACGTAATTATTCCTCTTCATAATTTGTTCTTAAATATCACAAAGTATTGTCACATTAGCAATATTAGTCTGTAGTTGATGTGGTGACTTGGTGGGGGGTTGTTAATTCTCTCTCTGCCTCTAAGAAGAGACAGCTTATTTAGCTTTAGGTAGTTTGTTTTTCCAGATCAGCTGGTTATCTGATGTTTGTTTGCATTTCAGTTAATACTTTCCTGTCCTTGGTGTTATCCTACACTATGTCCCCTAATACAGCCTCATTTATCTCATTTTTGCTTTCTAAGCACTAGCCAGACATAAAGTTACAGTTAGTTTTATTCTTCTTGCCCAGTTTTGCACTCTTATTAGTCACAAGAGGCTTGATGATTAGTGTCCTAGGTAGTCAGGGTAAGTCTATCCATAAAGTTTTTCAATTAATTTATTCCAACAGTAAGACAGCCCTGAGATACATATATTTTTTAGCATTTAATGCTAACTTTTTATTGCAACATGTTGTCACAACAGGAAGGATTTCTTTTCTCTGAGTTCTAGGATGCCTTTTATCATCCTTGATGCATTCCCATAGGAATTGAACAGGGTCATCTCACCCAGCATGAAAGTCAAGGCATGATTTCTCCTCTTTTTACCAAGACCCTTCCAAGCTCAGGTCAACATGTTTTGTGCTCGTTTTGTCAGATAGCACATTTCTCTATTTTGTGATTTCACTCTGGGGACAGGTTGATCATGTCCTTAATTTTGCTCATGCAGTTGGAAAATAGGAACACTTGAAAGTCTTACAACAATTTAAATGAAGTATTCTTAAAACAGAAATGAAATTAATTAATGAAAAGACCATTGGGAAAGAGTTAAATGAATTTACATTCTGGTCACAACTGTTCTAGTTGTATTTTGTTTTAGAATAGAAGAAACATGACATAGAGTCACTGTATATTTCTGCTCAGCACCTGGGAGAAAAAGCCAAGGCCTTATTGTTGATTTAGCAACAGAGGAGGGAAACAAAAGAAGTCTAGAAAAAAATATAGTGAGCAAAGAAGGTTACCTATTCATAATTCAGTGGTATTTTTCTTTATTTGCCATCTGTAAAGGAATATGTCCTTTGGATGTAAGAACAATACAAGTAGAACAAAAAAGAAGGTGAAAAACATTCTGTAGCCAGCATATATATACAGAAGTCCAGGGCTCAGAAAACAGCTGAATCTCCCGTCAAAGCTGCATTTTGTCCATCTTCATGATTTTGCCTTTGTGCTCTAATTCACTGCTTCTTGCCTATTTTACACTGGATTTTTACTGTTTTTTTTTGTTGTTGTTTTGGTTTGGTGGTGGTTTGGGTATGTTTTTTTTTTTTTTTTTGGTTGTTTGGTGGGTTTTTTTTTGTTTGTTTGGTTTTGTTTCGTTTTGATCTGCTTTTTGTAGAGTCTCCTTATTTTTCTTCTCTTTTTTAAACTCCCACAAAGAGAAAAGAATCAAGATCACTTGGAGTTCAACAGCTTTTCATATCACAAGCTTTATAGCATGAATCATTTCTAGATGCTTTGCCATGCAGGGCGGCAATGAGATTTTTAGCAAACAGCAGACCAGAGAGGAAAACTAAGGATGTGATAGGAGTATTATGAAATAGGTGCTGCAGTGGAAACTGCTTCAAATAATGCCATTGTTAAAGCAGTAATTCACAGATAGACGGCTGTAGGCAACTGTCCTAATTGAGTCTCTGTGTAGGATCTGCTTCAATCAGTCTTTATGGAGTTCCTGTTCCAAGAAATACATAAATGCCTCTCAGAGTCCTTTCAAGCCAATTGGAAAATGAATGAAATAAAACTTGAGATTTTGGTTTTCCTCTGTGCTATTTATGCAAAGAGCGCACTAGATTATATAATGGTGCAATTCTGTGTTGCATCTCTGTGCAGTGATTTTAATTAGTTGCTCAAGTTACAGAGTAAATGAGGATGAGGCCCACTGACAAAACAGAGTTCCTATTCTTGAGAGGAAAGAAGTCTAGTTAGAGAATTCAAGATTGGCAGAAAGGTTAAAAAATGGAATCTGTATTAAATTCCCTAAGAGTTAAATTTTAGGCCATTCAGTTGTAAAATAAGTACAGATTTTGTGGAAGACTGCATCAGTCATTTGTAGTGTATCTATGAGATGTATACAGAGGACTATTTGTTATTCCAACTAAGGACAAAGTAGCTTAAAATGTTTGCTTTGTGTATGTGGACTCTGAGTTTCTCACCCTCCAAAAAGGCAGATGGTTGCACTACTCTGGGGAAAACTACAGCTTTACTCTCTTTACCCTCTTTTAGCTGTGAGAAGGTAGGAATTAATTTTGTACAGTTATATAGGTAATTCTCATCTTTGGTAATTTCATACTAGGGAAATGCTCATTAGAAAATCCTGTTAATCAGGATTTTTCCATATTGTAACTTGATAATGAGAAAATCTGAGAAGAACCTCTCTTTATTTTAACCAGGTTAGCAGAAGTAAGTTGCCAGAGCTCCAGCGGGTGTATTAAAGCAATGCATTTTGCCAAAATGAAGGGTATGACTCATAGGGTTTTTAGGTGTCCTTTCTGAAAGAAGAGCAAGAAACACCATCATAATGTGCATTACTTTCCATGCTTGTTCATTTTTTCCATTCAGACCAGTAATAGAGAGAAACGTGAAATGTCATTATTAATATTGGGAAGGCAGTCCAAATCAATTTTAAAATCTAGAAGGAAATACTAAAAGAGTTCTTTCAAGTGTAATTGCAAAACACAATTTGAGGAATATTCTGGGGAGAGAATGCCCTGAAAACTTGTGGATGGATTCGAAAGCACAAAGGACCAGCCCAGTGCTGCTGCCGAGCACTGCCAACCTCTGTGTTCTTGGTTTTCATTGCAACAAATCTGAGTGTTTTTAAAAACACTGTTGGTTCTTGTTTTGCAAGTCATGTGTAAGCAAGACTGGAGAACCTTACGAAGTGGTGTCTCTTTACAAGAGTTCTTACACTTTAAATGTGCAGTAGAAGGTTTGATCACTGATTTTACAATAGTTAACCCCCATGACTTGAGCTAATTAATTGCAGATGGTTGCAGGTTAAGTTCCCTAGATTGACGGGAAGGCATTTCACAAACTGTAGAGAGGACTATGCCAGCTGTGTGTCTTCATCTCACAGTTTAGTGCTCCACTAAAATCTCATCTCAGAGTGAAGCGGCGTGAGCCGCATATGTAGATCAGTGGGTGCCTAAAACCATCTTTATATCTAATTGTGGTGGAGGTGGGGAGCTGTGGGTTGGATGAGAACAAGGTGGAGATATATAAGGACACCAGCTTGGATGAAGGGGCAGGTGACTGATGGAGAGTAGGAGCCGTAGGCAGCAATGAAAAGCAAGGCTGCACCTCCCCTGATGTCAGGTTGGTGCAGCGCTTGACATGACAGATATTTTCAGTGTGTAGCTGGAGAAGAACTTTCCACTTCAGTGTCTCCACCCTTGGTTCTCTACAAATAGTGCAGGTTTGTCCAGCAGCATCAGGGATGTGAGGATTAGACTTTTAAACCCAGTTCAGACTATCTTAGGGTAAGAGCACAGTAGAGCTCTTTATATTTGCACTGCATCTCAGGTGGATACCTTGCCAAAAACCGGATCAATCTCTCTGGCTGAATTCTGAAAAGGACATTTTCATCTTATTTAGATAAGCAAATACTCAGAGATGGCATCACTAAGAAGGAATGTCAAGATGTGTGTGTATTACTTGCAACGTAAACAGGAACAAAGATAGCATGGTTTGGGGTTTTTTTTCCACAAAATAATGGAAATGGACCTCAGTGGTTGCTCTCCAGTAAAAGTGCAATGAAAGTGAAAAATACTCATTTCTAATTTAAAAAAGATCATAGAACTTGATGAAAATTGGATTTTGAAAAATACACTTTCTGAAATGTTACAACTGTAAATGGATGACTGGTGGTACAGGAGTGGAATGCAGTTAGCATTCTGCTGAAAGTTGATTTAATCCCATAGAGAACTGTCATATTTCCATAATGCGCTCACACTATTTGGTTGCTGTGTTAAAACCTGTCAGTCATTTGTTTCCAGAAGCAAAACAAGAGTGTGAGATATTACTTTGAAGCAGAATGAGATATTGCAGAACCGTTTAGGTATTGCAAGCCATTATTCATTCCAGTGAATCTCAAAATCCCTTGCTCATGCCATCGCACAGTTGTGTCCAGGACCCCAGACAGCTTATGGATGTGCGCCTGTAGGGTAGCTGTGCTCTGCAGAGTCCTCTGCTGCTGATTTTCCTGCCAACAGGATGATACTGGCCAGAGGACATTGCAGCACCCTGCAGGCCCACACGCAGGAAAATAATGAGCGCCCAGATCTTGTACAATTAAAATCTGGGGAGGGCCTCACCAGGCATTGCTCAGAACTGGAAGCTGGGAAGCCTTTGCTAGTCTCCTTAGGCATAACAGCCTCAATTACTGATACTGGTATGCCTTGTCTGTGCTGTAAGTTGAATAATTTGTCTCCTTGTATCTGGTTGGTTGTTTTTTTTTTTCAGTGCACATGGTATAATTTCATTCTGTACTGAAGAAATACCTAAGGGGTGTTGCATTTAATCTGAATGCAGGTGCAGCCAACTGTGCTATGCACATCTCCTCTCTTAGATATTAAAATAAGTACTGTTAAAAGTTCATCTTCATCAGCTTGTAGATGGTATTCTGTGTGTAGACTTTATTTTTATAAAGGAAATGCTGAGGAATACTGGACAGCTCTTATTAAAAGTTGTTAATAATTTAAAATAACATGGGCCATGTAGAAGTCAGCGGCTTAGGCTGGAGACCCAGCTCATCTGAGGAAGTAGAGCTTCGTGTCAAGTTTTACAATCTAGACTGAAAATCCAGCTATCACTCTGAATAGCTTTTACAACAACTTAAAGCAGCAGCTACACTGTTTCTTCTCAAATAGCCTTTTATTTTAAAGCCTCCTTTGCATCATTGCTAACAACATTATGTTTTTCCCATGATGCCACTGGCAGGGCCTAAACAGCACTGAGACTACTTTACTCATCCCTGAACATCAAGTGGTAAGCAGTAAGCAATATTCATGCTTCCTTGCATGAATCTGTGTGGTGTCTTCTATTAAAGTCCCTCACAAAAAAATTTTCCAGTTTCAAGGATGCCATCCTTACAAAACAAAATGTTTTTTTTTTCTAGATTATAAAAATGAATGTGGTTTCGGCATTTATTCCTAGTGATGGCTTAAATGGTCAATTCCAGGAAATCAAAAGGATAATAGACAAAATTGGAAAGTTAAGATTGGTGGAGAAAACTGGAAAGTTTGCTTTGTTTATCATTGCTTTGGTTTGATGGGATGTAGGATATATTCTGACTCTGGTGTTATTAACAAATGTGGGATTCCTTTTTATTGGGATAACCTGGAGGGCTCTGAGAGTCAGCATGGTACTTTCAAATGTTTGAAAGAGCAAGAAGTGAACACTGACAGCAGTTGAAATGTGTGGCCTCTTTTTTTTTCTTATTGCAGGCTCTAATATGGAAAGGCTCAAAATAGCCACTTCCTAAAATTTGCAGACAAGAGAATTGCGTTGTCAAATATATCAGAAAACTTGAAATAATCTTTTTTTTTCATGGAGAAGAAAGTCACAAATTCATTTAAGCTAACTGAAGAAGTACATGCTGAGGTGTATTAAAACTGTCTGCTTGCTTACATTGGGCTCTGGTGTCTTTACATTAACTCATGCGCTCTCTTAGCATCCTTTTTATTTCCCTTTGTTGTATTCTTGTTTAATGTGTCCTTTTATCCAGAGAGGCTTTTTTCCTGAGCGTTTAAATTAGAGTGCAAATACCTTGGTGTCTTAAACTGCTTTGAAATGCATGTTTTCAAGCTTTCAGATTTTCATGTGGTTCAAAACTGTGGTAAAGGTGTAAAAAGAAGCTTGCAAGTTTTAGCTACCAGAAATATGTGGGCTTTTGTGTTTATTGGAGTGGGAAAGCTTTGTGTGCTGCTTTGTAGCCTGCATGAAGCATAACTGGAAATGGGGATGTGTGGTGTTGAGAGTGTTGTTAATACACTTCTTTCGAAGTGGATAAGCACTTGTGGATTCCTCCAAGGAAGAGTATTGAAGAGAACTTGATGCAAAGGGGATCTCTAGTGTAATGGGATCTGAGTTTATTGTGCATAAACCAGGAATGTGCCTTTTTCGGTTTCAGTGGAGTGCCTGTATATCTGTATATGTTGTGTAAATGCATTTCCAGGAGCTTGTTGCTTTGGAAAATAAATTTATCAAAACAGTTATATATTAAGTATAGTGGCACTTAACTCAGCATGTGTTTCCTGTAGCTGTGAGCACGTTTAATTCAGGGAAAAGGGGGATTACATACATACTCTGTGTGAACTGAGGATCTGCTTGAAGGTGATAATATTTTTTAAGACATTGAATGTTTCCCACCCTTTCAATTAGGAGGCATAGTTTATATTTTGATTCAGCTTTCAAGCCTTTATATTTTCATCTATTTCTGTAGTCTTAAAAATATTCCTGCAGTGGATTGTTAATTCAGAAATCAACTAATTGCATTGTTAATGTAGTTATTTTGGTTTATGACATGGTCTGTGATTAAAAACTAATTTGCCTGTATGATTATCAAAGGTATGCAGTAAATAAATATTTGGTTTGTGGACTTTATCTTGTAAGCAAGCAGAAGGTTGCAGGTCTGTTTTATTTTTTAATTTCAGGCAGCTCTCTTGTCTAGTAATGTAGGATTATAATATAACTCCTAGATGTGCTGATGGGGATCATGTTAGTAACATCTCAGCATACCCATTAGTCATAGCCAGAGGTTTTACCCTGCTGTAACGCCAATGAAGCTAATGGATTGGGTTTCTCCATCTCAGATTACTGTTGAGTACTACTTTGCTGCTCTAAACCACCTTCCCACTCTGAGATACAAAAAGCAGAAGACTGCTGAGGTCTGAACCTGCAGACCCAGCTCTGTGAGGCTGGATGCTTGGGAAACCTTGAAGTCTCCAGAATTAGGTTTGGGAATGGTGTTTCTGAATGTATGCTCCTGAGAAATTTGCAGTTTTCTGACTATTAATATGAAAAATGCTGGTTTAAGCCAAGTTCCTCTGTCATTAAGTATAGACATGGAGAGGGCTAGGGTGTTTAGCAGTGAGGTGTACTTGGAGGACGCTCAGTTGTGTAGAGGGAAAAAGTTGTGCTAAGCGGCGTTTAAGGACATAAATTTCCTGTTAGGTGGATTACAAGAAATAGAAGTCCTTCTGAGTCCTGTGAAAAATATTCAGGATTCAATCATTCAGGTATAATCTGCAAAATATATTTGCTTTTCAGGTGCTGTGGTACCTTTAAAGGTCAGCTGGCTGTGTACCTTGGTGGCTGAGCAAGGCTGTGGACATGTCTGCTGCAGTCTCTATCCCTCAACTTCAATACAAAGTTGTTTCTCTGAAGCACTTTCTGTTAGTGTTTAGTGGTTGATGCCACATCCAGCAGCTCTCTTTACCCTCTCCAGTTCGTGGTGACTGGCTTGTTTGCTTTGGCCCTGCAGATGCATGTCAGAGCTATCTGTGGGAGCAGAGTGGCCAGGGTCTGGGCATTGAGTAAAAACTCTAGCAGGGCAGGAGAGCTCTGATGGGTTTGGAAGTAGCGTGTGACCACCAGGCAGCATTTATGCACTTCACCCAAACCAGTTTGGTTAGGACTGAACGTGGGGTGTTACACAGCCTTGCTTCGTCTTGAGCTGTGCTGTGTTTATTTCCGTAAGGACAACTTGGTCTTTCCTGTAACTTGTTTAAGTTGGGATTTCCTACTGCACGGATTCAGTTTTTGTCTAACGTAAGGATTGGAAGTCTAGGTACTTGGGAGGTTGTTTGTTGAACATGGCTCATTCAACATTCGGATCTCCAGTGGATGTCTAGACAGAAGTTGATGATGATGGTGTAACTAGAAATATTAATATGCAATATATGTTATAAGTGTTCAAGGCCAGGCTGGACAGGGCTTGGAGCAGCCTGGTCTAGTGGAAGGTGTCCCTCCCTGTGCCAGGGGGTTGGAACTGGATGAGCTTTAAGGTCCTTTCCAACCCAAACCATTCTGTGATTCTATGAATACAGTTCCGTAAGTACACAGTAAGTTCACACTTATGTAGCCATGTGAAAATAGCTCTTCGTGGTGGATCATTACAGTGTTTAGTTAGCACATCTGTCCACATATGAAGCCACTTAGTGCTTTTAGAGATAACGAGAGTATTAAAACCGGGAAGTTAGTACAAGAGAACAGGAGAGCAGTATTTGTTTTTGAACAAGTAGTTTTTGTGAGCTTGCTTTGTAGATGATGGATTTTTTTTAACTTTCTGGAAGTGCTGGTAAATGCTGAACCCTTGCAGTAACACCATTTCACAGATCATACAGTGACCTGGATTGGAAGGGACCTCTGGAGGTCTCCTTGACCAATCTCATACTCAGGGCAAGGCTGACTTCAAACTTAGATCAGGCTGTTCAGTCAGGGTCTTGCTTGATCAAGCTGCATGATCTCTGGGATAGAGATTACATGGTCTTTCTGGGCAACCTGTTGTACCTGTTCCCATTCAACCACGCCCTCACATCCAGTAGGAATTTCCCTTGTTGCAACTTGTAGCTCTTGCCTCTTGAGTTTTCACCATATGCCTTGGGGCTCCATCTCTTCTCTAATCCTCATAGGGTATTATTCAGTTTTTCAGAATCTTCCAATTGCTGTGTTTGCTGCGCTGGGATGTTTTAATTTGGTTACTTGTGTTCCAGAAGGTACACACCACAGAATATCTGCTCTGATGTTCCTTTAATGACTACAGGCTGTCTTAAGATCAGTTAATTTAAATACAGTTTGGGAGACAGCTGTTAAGAAACAGGACCACAGAATCAACCAGTTTGGAAAAGACCTTTAAGATCATCAAGTCTAATCGTTCCCCCAGCACTGCCAAGGCCACCACTAAACCATGGCACTGAGGGCCTCATCTACACAGTTTGTGAACACTTCCAGGGACGGTGACTCCACCACTGCCCTGGGCAGCCTGTTCCAATGCCTGAACACCCTCTCTGTGAAGAAATTATTCCTAATATCCAGTCTAAACTTCCCCTGAGATGTGCAAATCCATAATCTTTTATGATTCACTCATGCAACCAATGCATATTACTAAAATTTGATATATTTTAAACCTCCAAGGGCACATGTATGCACAGAAGTGTCAGAGTATGCAAGACTGATCTTGTTCTGCTTGTGAAATCCAAATGCAGAAAATGGAAAGGAGTAATTTATGGGTTTAGTAAATAGGCTTGTCTCTATCCATGATGAATATCTGATGTACAAAAGGAGAGAAGTGATGAGTATTCCCCTCCTTAAAGCAGATCCTACTCTGATGACTACAGCATTTTCTTAAACTGATAGTCAGACCTTTAATGACTGAGCAGGATTCTGATACATCTTAGAAAATCAGCAAACTTTGATGGCACTAAAGATAAATTATTACTGCAGTTGGATGGAATAATCTAATTGTAGCTGTGCTACCCAAAGAAACTGGGACTGTTCTTTGACAGGAGCTTTTCTGAAGTAGATATTATTTATTGATTTATTTTTTCTTTGTGTATATGACTTTTATTAGTTCACTGGGACAACGTCTGTGCTCACACAATCTCTGTCTTTTTAAGTTAGTGGTTGGGGTGCTCTGGTTTTAGGCCAATTCCCAACATTGTAAATTGCTAGAAGGCACTTTGGGATTTACTTGCTGTAATGCTGGATAATTACAGTACTGTCAAAGCTATCTTAATTTGATTAGATTAACACCTAAACAGTTGCAGTTTGCTTGTAGGCACAACTATGTTTAAAAACCCCACAAACTGTAAGGATAAAATAGAATAGAAAAATGCTGTTCTTTTTCTTTGACTGGATTTCATGATTTTATGAGCCTCTTAGTCTTGCATGATTCTCTTCTGCTTATAGAAGAAAAGCATTTTCTGAGCCAGCTGTCTGATGTCAATCTTAAAAAATAGTCCGATTGATCTGCTGGAAATATATCTCAAGAAGGAAAATGGCAAAAAAAAACCCAACAGAATTGCCAAGGAGAGAAGGCAAAGAGGATTGAGGCATATTCAGGAAATAATCTTTTAGCATTTTTGTGTTACTTTGATTTGCAACACAGTGTTTTGAGCTGCCAAAAGGCTAGAATAGCTTCAGAAATATTTTCCATAGGGCATGGATGGACAGAATAGGCTACAAGTGGTTTCAGCAGTTACCAGGGTATCTCATGAAGGTGCTTAAAGTTGTACAAGCATATGGAACAACAGGGATTATTATTGATGTCAGTGTTATTATCTATTATTATTGTTGTTATTAAATTTGTTCCTATTTGAAAATAAATGCATGTCCCGCTGCATGTAGATATCATTGCTTGTAATTTTGGCAGTTCTGGAATTACATGATTGCCATTCATCTGTTTCTGTCCTAGTGGATCAAACCTAATACAAGCGTTACAGAAACATGCATGCACTATTCATTAGGTAGTTCTTGTTTTGTTACCTTTGCATTACATTCAAAGAAACTTTGTTGGGTTTGGTGGGGTTTTTTAATTTATTTAAACATCCCAGTGATGGCAGTTAGCATTATGGGAGTCACTACTTTAAAACAGCCAAGCTTATTCCCAAAAAGGATGCCAGCACAGCTTAGCCCTTACTAAAAAAAGATATTAATAGTCATAATGTTTGTGGATGCTTGTGTTTTTCTACTAGTTGGAGGCTTTTCCTGGCTTTTATAAGGACTTGGATTTCTTGCTAACTTTACTGGAGGGTATGTTTTAAAAGCAGTTGAGTCAGTTCTTGGAGAGGAGCAGTAGCCTCACTAACTACTTGTTGGTTATTCTGACAGAGTGGAAGAAGATATAATCTGTTCCTGAAGCGACGTCTCAGGGTAAACCAGTGAGAAATGATACTGCAAGTGGCTTGGGTGGCTGCAGTAATGACATGCTTCACTGTGTGATGCCTTTTGTTAACTGGGAGCAAAGTTCACCATTATAAATACTCTATGCTTTCTCACAGGCTTTTTCACATGCATCCTTTCATGTTGTAAGAGAGAAAAGACAGCGATAGAACCCTTTGAATTATTCTTGTCTTAGACAAATGCACTTTTGCTTATGGGTGTGGTTAAAAGACCCAACACCAGTCTTACTTAGCATGGAGTTAAATTTAGACCAGAGTATTAGCTTCTAATGGAGAGCACTTTGTATGAACTTTTAGTCTTGTAAACAATTTGGTAGAGCTGAATACTGATCTGATAATAAATAATACTACCTAATACTATGTTAACTTCCCTAGGAGAGAGAGATACTAGTCTTTTACTAGCTTAACATTAATTGCTGTAGCCTAATCGGTGAAAGAGATGAATGTTATTACAACATTCTGGCATGCTGATAAATGAAAACATGATCTTTAATAGATCAATTAAAATACTAATTGCACTGTTACACTGACAGCTTTTATTAGGTTCATTTCTTTTTTTCCCCAATAAACACTCAGCTTTGAAACATTACCACTGTATTTTGTTGTTTTCATGTGTGGTCATTGCTGGGACATATTTCTCTTTGGTGGTCGATTTGGTGGATCTCATGATGTAGAAGAATATGCATGGAATTGACTTTTTGCTACCTGCTTTGAGTTGATAAACTCTGCCTTAGCTGGCTTTTGTGTAGAGTAGTGTTTTGACTAACTGCAGGAAAAAACAATCATGCTGTAAAATAACACTTGTCTTGATCATTTATGGAAAGAAAATAAATGTTCACAAGTATGGCTACACTAACATATGTTCATTCTTCATATACTAGTAACTTACATGTAGTGCTTGTGGATATAAGCAGTCAGTGGTGAAATAATTACAACTGGATAAGCCCTTGTTAAAACTTTCCCAAGTATGTATCTTCAAGCTGTGAAGGAACTGAAGAATTAAGGCAATTTGGGGAAATATGTCTTCTGTTATATTTTAGAGCAACAGCAATGCTTGTTGTTTGTAATCGGATGCCTGTATCTTCTACAGATTGATAAAAGACATCAAAGCAAAGATTCTATTTTCTTCAGGGACGGTGTCAGGAGAATTGATTTTGTTCTCTCCTATGTGGATGATCTTAATAAGGAATGGGAAAAAAAGTTGGTAAGTATCTCTTTCTGACGTCCTTTTAATTCTTATCTATTATAACCTGAATATCATTGCTAAACCTTTCAAATGACTACATGCAGCTGGAATAGGAGTTAGCTAAAAATGTTATAGTTGCGTGAAAAGCCATTTCACATACTGAAATTCCTGTGTAATTTACTGTTGTGTGTCAGGACCCGATTTTATTCCATTTCTGGGGCTTCGTTTACAGAACTGATCACTCTCTATTATTAGGCTGAGCAATATATTATACAGTCAGTGCAAAGTAAAACGAACTATTTTGCTTTCTCCATTTAACAGTCTTAAGAGTTAGCTGTGGCTTTGGTGAAATACCTGTGGATACTGTTAAACCTGGTTTCTTCTAAATAAGCAAAGCATTATCCAAATGAGATTCAACAATAACTTTTTTCCACCCATCCTTTGACTTCGGTTAGAGCAGAAATAGATTCCTAGATCCAAGAATTAAAGCAGTTTTCCTTTTAAGATTTGTTTGGTTTTTTTTTAATACATATTCTGAATAAGACAAGCACAGCACCTCATCTTGGAGCGTTTCTCTGTGCTTGACTTGCTCTCTACATATGTGTATTCATTCATCTAGAGGGGTCTATAAAGTGGCTTTGATAAGAGACCTCCTGTGTAACAGAGCACAAAGTACAAGCTTTCTCTAACATGCCAGTTAGTGATTATCCCTGGGCTTTTCAACAAGACCCAGTAGGTCCAGCAAACTCAGTAAATGACATAGATTTGTTCCTTGTTCACGCCAACTTTTGAGGTCTAACTTGACTAACATGTAAATTCAAGCTATTTGAACATCCAGTGCTTTTCGGTGCAGTCAGGACAAGGTTACATTTACAAACTGGTCTCCCCAGGAGATTTCTCTAAAGTTTTATCAAAAAAAAAAAAAAAGGGGGGGGTACAAAATACCCCTAAAGTCTCATGTAATCTTATTATTCTGAAAGATAAAGATATCTGAATATAACTGTTAATACGAAGGCATATGACAAAATCATGATCGAAACTACAGGTCTGTGAAGTAAGGAATATTTCTTATCTGTATCTTGTCATAGTAAAATGTTTTGTAATAAACCTATCGTTTCCTTTGAACAAAAAATGTGAGATAAGGCTGCTTATTGCTTTCATTCCTTTATGAAGGAAATACTGCTTTCATTAAGGACTGATGCTGTCTATATTTGCATCCAGATATCATAGAATCATAGAATCCCAGAACAGCTTGGGTTGGAAGGGACCTTAAAGCTTATCCAGTTCCAACCCCCTGCCATGAGCGGAGACACCTTCCACTAGATCAGGTTGCTCCAAGCCCTGTCCAGCTTGGCTTTGAACACTGCCAGGCGTGGGGCAGCCAGTGATCCAGTGTAGAACACCCCTGCATCTTGCTTTTTTTACCTTAAAAAAAATAAGTCTGTCATCCTCTCTGGTGCTTTTCCCAGTTTAAGCATCCCACAGTTTTGCTCAGCTACCTGTGTGCAGGGACTTGTCTGGGAGAACAGCGAGAACATTCTAGCTATGGCACAGTAGGTTTATATAAAGACATATTTTTCCAAACACACACTGACTCTGTTCAGGTGTAATCCTAGCTAAATTGTTTTTTCTCCCATAAAGCAAAATGCATTTAAAAAAGAAGGGGGATGAGACAACTCAAGTGTAGAGAGAAGAAAGATATCCATACAAAATATGTGAAAGCAACTCTTAAAATAAACTTTTCCATTAGTCATACTCAAATAGCTGGAAGGAAGAAATGGAGACTATTTAGGTAGTGTTTCAAGTGGGAAGGAAAAGGAGCCAGATGCTCAGTCCAGTCACTTGTTCATGTTGTGTGCAGCAATTTCCTCTCATTGCTTTAAGGGTCATTAGGGGGTAGCAGAAATTTTTTGCCAGACCAGAGGCAATGTAAATGGGTGTCATTATTGACTGAAGGATTCATGCAGGAAAGAACCCAAGAGTTAGTAGCCAATATTGGAGTTCCTTTTTGAGGTAAAAATGCACTTAGGTAGGAAGTCTTGTAAAAGGCTAGAATGTCTGCATCGAGTGTTGCAAGATTTAATTCTGTATGTCTGTTACTCACTGAAGAGTTTGTGACCCCACAAGAAGAAGGTGTTTGGTGTGTGGCCCTGTAAGCTAGTTCTGTGATCACAGAACCAACAGACATGAAGATAGCAGTGTTATAGTGCACCACTTTTTACACAATTCCTGGGGAATCTGCTAAGAAAATGAAATCCATATTTCTGTCCAGCATAGACCTTTGCACAACGACTATGCCCATAACTTAGCTCAGACACAGTATGGGAGTATTGTGCCGTTATCTTTGTGGGAATGTAATTTAAATATTAATGCTCTGCAGCCTTTGGAATTTGTCTGACAATACTGTACTTGCTATTGCACAGTCATTGCAGGGAAGAATGTGACTTCTTTTGCTGTAGTACAATGATACAGCAAAATAGAACAGCTAAGAATAGAAATGTTATTTCTATGAACATTTCTGACAAGGGGTTTTGTTTCCTTGTCTCAAGGAAACAGCTTTATTTTGCCTTTCTAAGGAAAAGATGAATAAATTCTTTGTGTGTTTCAACATAGCCCTGATGCAGATGTAAGAGGCAGCATGTTCATCTTCTCTGTCAGCTTTGTGCACAACAGATGCGTTAACTTAATTCATATTCCCCAGAAACTTTCCAACTTAAACTTTTTTGAGCCTGCCTTCTGTAAGCTACATGACTAAATCCTAACCACAGAGTCTCTGTAAGAAAAAATTAGGATAACATTGTTGTGAGACAATACTTGATATTTTTCCTCAGAGCCTCCAGCAAACAAATGGGAATATTTTACCTGCATATGACGGAAAAATAAATACAGCTTTAAAAAATATCTAACAAATTATTTGTGTATTACCAGGACATGATCTTTTTTTGTCCATAAATGTATTTCTTCACAAGAAAATCCATAGCATTAGATGGAAGATGTTTCTATCCATGTCAGGGCGTTTGGGACTATTCTGTGATTCTCTCATTAGGACTCTGGGAAATCTGTGCAAAGTGACTTGTTCTGATGTTAACTGGAAGTTAAGTCCCCCTATCCCAGTGGGGCTTGGAGATACATAAAGAAATTTTACCTAGTCTTCTCCCAGTTGTCGTCAGCTTAGACAGAAACTTCTGCTGTCTTACAGCCACCAGATAGCCCAAATTTAGGGAGCCAGGGGCAGTAAAAAGGCTGTGTCCCCAGGTCTGCAGGAGCAGCTGAAAACTGGGCTTGGTCCAAAGCAGGTACCTCTCTGAGCTGCTTTAATGACCATGTTTGGCATCTCCAAGCTTTAGAGCCTTGAGACAAGGGGACTTTCTTAACAGACTCCATCGCTCTCAAAATGTTCTTGGCTGGTGGGCAGCCTGAGATAAACCTGAGCCCCTCTGTGCTAGTCTTGTGAAGTGAATTGGGTTTTCTCAGGGCACAGCCAGGGGCAGAGTTCCCATGCACTTTACAGCAGCCTGGCATTGTTCCTGAAAGCTGTGTTTGTTTCCCAATGTCTTACGTGTGACTGCAGTTAGAATCAGCCCCAGCGTCCTGAGACTTTTGTAAGCTTGGTGCTCCTTGCCTAGGGAGGAAAGGACTTTGATTAAGGAATAGTATGTCATAATCTTTAATTATTTTATTCTTCTGTTTATTGATTGTTATTACTAGCAGTAATAGCATTGTTATCAAGAAGCAGGTTTATAACAGTTGTCTATCTTCCATACATACCTAATCATGCAGAGTTGCAGCTGCATGGGGCATGAGAGTGCTGCTGGACTTTGGATCTGGCTTTCTTAATCTTATCAGGATGGCTGATTACAGCAAAGCATGCATTAGATGGTGAAGTTACTCAGTATGAGTATGTGGGATATCCACGGTGGTGTTGGGAGAGGTGAATGATCTACCAGCCTCTCTTCGATATCATGGAAGTCTCAGGAGATGTGGTTTCAGTTTTTTACAGATGCTTTGGAGAGGTTTAAGAAATGTACTTAAACAAGGTGTGAGTTATTAGCCCACTGTTACTGGGCTAATAACATGATTTACTTGCATTGTTTCCTCTGTGACTGCACAGTGGTGTCTATAGTGGTGTCACAAATAAATGCACCAGGTCTGGCTTTTTGTGTTTGGGACAGTAAGCTTAAAATTTTTATACATGCATATTAAAACGGCACAGGTCCAAGTGGACATTTTGTCCATTTTAAGCCTCTGATGGTGATATGAAGAAATAAACTATTTGGTAGGAAAAGGGGGAGCATCAAGTTTTTTTTCTGCAGCAGATTGATTTCCTTTTAAAGATGGCTCTGGAAAGAACTGGATGGTTCTGGATGGAACTGGAAAGACCAGTACATTTGCAGGGGTTTCAGAGAAGGTGGCTTACTGTAAGAGAGTAAGGTGGTAAAAGAGCATCATTTATATTAAGAGAGCTGTGGTTTAGCATACTAACTGTCTAATAAAGCAAGGTAAGATGGGGCCTGGCCTTCGGGCTCTGCCTGTGGTTCAGCTGCAGAGCTGAAGGAGGAGCTGGGTAGTGTCTCCACGGGCAGAGAACCCCCTGAGATGGCTCTCTTGGCTCCCCTCCAGTATTTGCTATGGAAAGAACGAATGACATCATGCTTTGGTTGGAGAAAATGTAATCCAGAATAGCACAGAGCTTTGGGTACTGGGCTTGAATGTCAGCTCTTGTATATTTCCTTTCAAATGGAATCATAATCACGTGATTTTGGCTATGTTTTCTCTATTAGATCAGCATGTCAGCAAATGAGTTCTCTGGTGTGGTTATACATAGGTGCAGGCAGGCTTTGGGGGATATATTAATTAAAAAATAGTGAATGGAATTGCATTTGCTCCCAGCATGTGCTAGAACTCAGGTATTATATTTGCAAGTTTATCTAGGCCAGTGTTTAATATATAATAATATTTGGCAAAATTACATGTGACAGGTAAAAATGCAAGGCCACTAACACAGGAAAACACATCAATGCATCTTAAGATAGATTTAAGGTCCCTTAAAGCTGTTCTTCAGTCAGTATTAATTTATCTGAGTAGTTCATGCAAACTATAATACAAATAGGGCAGCTTGCTCCTCACGGCCACACCGGAAATTGGCTGAAATGCATAGTAGTTTGTGGTTTTTGAAGTGTGTTTGAAAAATGTCATTTAAGACCTTTCAATGAAGAAAACATCACACAGCATTGCAAGTTTTAGCTAGAAATAAATTGGGAGTTAGCTAGTGCATTCTAGAGGGGCTGGGGCTCAATATTTAGCATAACTTGTCATTATTCTGGCAGCTCTTCAGCAAATTTTATAGAATTAAAAGGAAATTAATTCAGTCTCCCAAGAGGGGCAACAGTTCTATAGTAAAGGGGGACAAGCAAATGTTCTTAGGTAAAAACACCACCTTGGAATTAGTGGCCAATATGCAGAGTTCAAGAAGAGTCTCAAACTGGCAGAGGTCCCACAGCCATTGTGCTCTGCCATGGGCAGGTTTATTTATCTCTCCCTGAACTCCATGATGCCTTTATGCAAGCTAAGCATACGTAAGCTTACATATGATGCTTTGTTAGTCTTATCTAGTTCTGCAGTTACGTTGTTTGTGGAGCACTCTGAATTGTCTGTTATCAGTATCTGAACATCTGTATGAGGCATGACTGGTTATTAAACTGGTAAATAGATGGCCCTGTAAAAGTTCAGCCTTCTATGTGCTTCTAGAGTTTTTCTTTTCATCTAGTTTTAACATTCTCTTAGAAGTAGAGCTAAACTTGAGCAATAACATGACACCCACCACCCTCCCAAAGAGTTAGAAATGCTCAAGACCATGACTTCATTTACTTCTCTGGTTAATAAGATTGCATAGTTTATGAGCCTATTCCCAACAAACTGGTTTCTGTTACTAGTCAGTGCAATTCCTGATATGGTGCAATCACTAGTCTGGCCTTGGCTCGGAAGTGGCCCTGTATGCATCAGTTGGGTTTTGTCTGTTGGTCTGCTTTCCTTTACAAAGGTCACATAGCATTAAGGGATTGTCAGTTAGGAGTGAAACTTGATGGGGTTACCAGTAAGTGATCAGTTAGTTGCTAATTCATCACTTAATAAAGTGTGTTTATTTCTCTTCAGGAAAGAAGAAAAGAATTTGAGAGCAATCTGCAGAAGGCTGGTCTGGAATTAGAAACAGAAGACAAGAAGGTAAAGAAAAAAAAAGTGTATGTGTGGAGGTGTGAAATTAGGACCAAAGAAATAGGCCTGCAAATTCGTAATGAACATTTCTTGATGAACCACTTTCTTTCTTTGAGAAAAATGATCATGAATCCTTAATGCTAGTGCTGCCTATATTTGTATCCAAATATCATAGAATTCCAGACTGGTTTGGGTTGGAACGGACCTTAAAGCTCATCCAGTTCCAAGCCCCTGCCATGGGCAGGGGCACCTTCCACTAGACCAGGTTGCTCCAAGCCTGTCCAACCTGGCCTTGAACACTGCCAGGGATGGGGCAGCCACAGCTTCTCTGGGCAATCTGTACCAGGGCCTCAGCACCCTCACAGGGAAGAACTTCTGCCTAAGAGCTCATCTCAATCTCCCCTCTGTGAGTTTAAAGCCATTCCCCTTGTTCTGTCCCTACAGACCCTTGTCAAAAGGCCCCCTCCAGATTTCTTGTCGGCCCTTTACTTCTTATAAATACTTACTGTAAAGTGTTCTAATGGGTTTCAGTTGAATGTGACTAATTTAGGTGAAAAAAACTTCATGTGTTTATTTGAACTGTTCATAACAATTCATGAGGAAGTGATGGCTTTTGGTTTCATAACAAAAAGAAAGCAGTTCCAAACTAGCTGTGACTTTGTTATGTAAATAGGAAGTGTGCTCACAGCTAGATTTAATCCCACCTAACAACATGTTTGGAAGTCCGAGAAGGAATTACTGTGTGCCCACTGGATGTTATGAGGAAGGACCCTGGTGTAACAACTTGAGGGTGTTTTATTAGTGTTACTGGTTTGTTTAATAACTGGAGAACCCAGGATGCTGACGTCAAGCAGCACACCTTTTAGGCTGCCTGACTGAATGGTGCAATTATCTCTTGATGAAGATTGGACTCCTACATCTGTAGATTGGGATTCATTGAGCAACATTGCAGAATACCTTCTGATTGCCATCTTTGTCCTGTGTACACAGCAGAACGCTAATAGTACTAATAATACACTGTTGGGTGAGGCCTGTGGTAAAATTCTTCCTTATCATAGTGTGAGGCCGTAATAGATCTTAGCTCTGGTTCGTAACTCCTTTTGGCAAAGATTTTTGTGTGCTCTGCTCCAGTGTGTGGCAACTGGCCCTCCAGGAGAGAGGACTTATCTCACTGCCGGATGCATGGGATGCCCTGCGCAGCAAATCTCTGCATTTCCAATGCACTCCCAAGTGGGATCACAATTTGCAGGCCTCAGTGTACAAGATTAGTGTAGTTTGAAGAGCCTTTGTGTGCTTTCAGTAATGCAAGGATTATCTTTATGAATAAATAATCACTCAGATAAACTTCTCAGTTAAATATTTATCAAAACAGTCCCAATTTTCCCCTTCACCCTCACCCCCATTATTTAGAGCTCTCAAAAATATGTAAAAGGCAATAAATTTTGTGTAACAACTGTTCTCCTAAATCTTGCAATAAACCCAGTTTAGTCAGATGTCTGATTTAACTTCCCTGGGGCAGGAATCTGAAGATGGCAAGATTTATTTTGTGAAGATCCATGCCCCGTGGGAGGTTCTGATCACATATGCAGAAGTGCTGAACATCAAAGTTCCCATCAAGGAAAATGACATTCCCTCAATGGTGGAGAACCCTCTGGACTGCATGCTTGCACCACTCAGGCTTCCTGAGAAGGTGATGCACCCTGAACCGGATTATTTCACAGCACCATTCAGCAAGGATAAGCAGGAGCTGTACCTCATTAATGACGAGAACACTTTCTTTTCACCATCCATGAGAAACAGAATAGTATGTATGGGATTTGCTTATTTCTATTTACATTTAGACTTACATGGTCCTGTTGCAATGTTCATAGTATCCCAGATGGGTTTGGGTTGGGAGGGACCTTAAAACCTCGTCCAGTTCCAACCCCCTGCCATGGGCAGGGACACCTTCCACTAGACCGGGTTGCTCCAAGTCTTGTCCAGCCTGGCCTTGAACACTGCCAGGGATGGGGCAACCGAGGAAGGAGTATATAAACTGGATATCTGTGGGTAAATATGAGGAAGCCTTGGTACCTGTGCATCTTAAAAATTGGGAATAGTATTTGTTGGAAGGGATCTTGTAGATATTTGCAAGGCAAGCGTGCCCTCAGTGGTCTTGTATGGGGTAGGGCCTTCTCAAGAAACACTTCTTGCCTTTGTATGTTGTTTCTGCAGGTTATAGAGAGTGCACAACCATTACAGGTTTCTGTTACATGGCCTTAAAGCAGGAAAGGTCTGAAATGCTTGTGTTTGAATCTCAGGTGAATTACATCCTTACACGTTGCCCATATGGAACAGAAGAAGGCAAGAAGAAATTTGGAATTAAGAGACTACTAAATAATGGCACCTACTCAGCTGCATATCCTCTTCATGATGTACGTATTATAGCCTTCTGCTTCCTTGACCACTTCCCAGTGTTTTACTTTCACCTACAGTGACATTTGCTTTTTTCCAGCAAAAATGAAAATGTGCCTTCCATTTGTCCCAGTAATTAATTCTGTTTCATAACACACAAGTCCTGTCTGCCAGTCCTACTATTAGCCTTTTATGTGCTTGCAATGTTTCTTCCTATGGATGAGTTTCTAGGATATACTCATGTGTCAGTCAAATAATTTGAGACACTTATTCTGTACTATATTCCTGTTGGGGATGTTGGTTGATGAGAAAATGAACATGAGCAGGCAGTGGGCGCTTACAGCCCAGAAAGCCAGCCGTATCCTGGGCTGCATCAAAAGGAGCGTGACCAGCAGGTCAAAGGAGGTGATCCTTCCCCTCTACTCTGCTCTTGTGAGACCTCACTGGAGTATTGTGTGCAGTTCTGGTGTCCTCAACATAAAAAGGACATGGAACTGTGGGAACAAGTCCAGAGGAGGGCCATGAGGATGATCAGGGGACTGGAGCACCTCCCGTATGAAGACAGGCTGAGGAAGTTGGTGCTGTTCAGCCTGGAGAAGAGAAGGCTGCATGGAGACCTCCTAGCAGCCTTCCAGTATCTGAACGGGGGCTATAGGGATACTGGGGAGAGACTCTTCATTAGGGACTGTAGTGATAGGACAAGGGGTAACGGGTTAAAACTTAAATAGGGGAAGTTTAGATTGGACATAACGAGGAAATTCTTTCCTGTGAGGGTGGTGAGGCACTGGAATGGGTTGCCCAGGGAGGCTGTGAATGCTCCATCCCTGGCAGTGTTCAGGACCAGGTTGGACGAGGCCTTGGGTGACATGGTTTAGTGTGAGGTGTCCTTGCCCATGGCAGGGTGTTGGAACTTGATGATCTTAAGGTCCATTCCAACCCTAACTATTCTATGATTCTATGATTAACATCTATGCTACAGATAATTAAATAGTACATTAGAACGGCTATCTAGTGTAGATACAAGCACACACTGGAGTTGCATACTAGTGCAAGCTGATGTTTAGTTTTGCTGTAGGGACGTGTGGATTTAGCCCTGAAATCCCTTGGAAAAATAACGACAGAGATGGGCTACTGTATTCTATGTTAGGAGTTCTTTATTCTTTTTCTTTCAAAATGTTGTATTGATTGAATCTTAAATTCTCCTTGTTTTTAAGTTAGTTCAGATTTGTCAGAATGCTTTAGGGAGCTTAAGTTGCTTATTTATATCTCTGAATTCTGCCACAAGATATTTTTAAATAGTTTATGTGGATTTATGCTTTTAAATGTTTCTAAATATTTCTTCCTCCCTTAGAGTATGAAAAGAAATGGATGAATGGATGGAATATTTTAGGTTTTCTGGCGGAAGGTTTAGCTGATGAGAGTCTGCACTGTAGAAGAATACTTTAGGCTGGGAAGTACTTATACTGTTGAACTCCTAAAGCCACAGATTATAAAAAGCAGTTGTACAAGAATCTCTTCTTTACAAGTACAGCCAACCTTCAATGCTAAGAAATCATATGAGAAAAAATCCCCTAAGACAACTAGATAGCTATTTAACTTTTAAAATATTTTTTAAATGTGAACTTTAGGGTGTTTAAACTTCTTGATTTCTATTTTGAAACCAGTTTTCATGCTTCTCTTTGTGATTTAGAGACATACAGAAGAAGAGGAAAGACAAGATCACAAATCAAGTATTTGACATAGCCAAATATTTCTGAAGGCGGAGTTGTATAGCACAATATAAAATTGCAAGAGCTGTCAGAAACTGGTTATTTTGTGCTATTTAATTTCTAGAAAACTGATGAAGCTCCACATCTCATTTAGTATTTTACAGATGGATGGATGATAGTGATGAACACCACTGCAGTTAGTGTCAGAACTGCAGTTTGCATGTCCTTGCCTTAGAGCTACAGCATGGAAGACAGGGTACTATACTATACATACATACTACTGTGGAGACAGCATTTTAATTTCTATCCCCTAGGTTCCATCTCCCAGTGAAATGGTTTTTGCTGTGCCGTTTAAAGTGAGTCTAAAGTACAGAGAACAGGATGTAAACTTCCACTATTTTCAACCAAGTTGAGTAAAACAGTGATTTTCTACTTTTAGGGATGCTAGGACTTCGACATATGTGTGTGCTACACCAGTGTGAAAAATCAAACGATTAATTGCAGTAATCTACCAGTGCAAATGAGTGTGTTGTACCAAGATAATACTGGTGTAGTGTAACATGAGGTGGTTACAGTCCAGGCTGATGTGATCATAGCATCATAAAATGGTTTGGGTTGGACAGGACCTTAAAGCTCATCCAGTTCCAATCTCCTGCCACAGGCAGAGACATCTTCCCATAGACCAGGTTGCTCCAAGCCCTGTCCAACCTGGCCTTGAACACTGCCAGGTATGGGGCAACCACAGCTTTTCTGGGCAACCTTTGCCAGTGCCTCACCATCCACACAGGGAAGAACTTCCCCATATCTAATCTCAGTCTCCCCCCTGTGAGTTTAAAGCCATTCCTCCTTGTCCTGTCCCTACAGACCCTTGTCGGAAGTCCATCTCCAGATTTCTTGTCGGCCCTCTTTAAGGTACTGAAAAGCTGCTCTAAGGTCTCCCCAGAGCCTTTTCTTCTCCAGATAAACATACTAAGACTGATAGATGTTCTTTGTAAATACGTATTATCTTAAAACATATATAAAAATGATTCTACTGCAAGTGGAGTGCTAAGTTTGAATTTCAAATGAGTTTGATGTGCATAGTCCTAAGAGGGCTGCACCATCGTTAACTCTTATTTCTTTCAGTGTAGTCTTTGGGTCTGTCAGTGAGGTATTTTGCCTTTACTCTTGATTTGCTTGCAGTGCCAGTACTGGAAAAAGGCAAATGATCCAAACTGTGACAATGAGAGGTACACACTGTACATGGAGTGGGCCCGTTTCTTGCGGTTCTACAAAGAACAGCCTTTGGACCTTATCAGGTAAAATACTGCCCATGTTTTATTATATTGACTTGGTTTTCACTGTAATATGAACATGTATTCATTTGTACCTGGATCCTGCTGAGACCTCTTTACTGCTTTTTAAGATCCAGTGAGAATTGGATACTTAAGTGGGCACTAGGTCCTTGGAGGAAACAACACAGGTTTTTACTAATGACTGGAAAAATGCTTTATCTCAAATGATGTCTCTTTGAATCTAGCCAGTGCTCCTGGGGTCAGGTATATTACAGGTACTTCAGCTGTGTAGAGGAACACATATCATAGAATCCTAATATCGTTTGGGTTGGAAGGGTCCTTAAAGCTCATCCAGTTCCAAGCCCCTGCCATGAGTAGGGACACCTTCCACTAGACCAGGCTGCTCCAAACCCCATCCAATCTGGCCTTGAATCTTTCCAGGGATACCACAGCTTCTCTGGGCAGCCTGTGTCTGCGCTTCAGCACACTCACAGGGAAGAACTCCCAAGATCACATTTCAGTCTTCCCTCTGTCAGGTTAAAGCCACTCCGCCTTGTTCTGTCCCTACAGGCCCTTATCAAAAGCCCTTCTCCAGCTTTTTTGTAGGCCCCCTTTAGGTACTGGATATATGTAAAATACCTTGCGTTTTATAATCTATATCTGCCACAATTTTTAAGGATTAGAAATTTTAACAGAGACTTGAAAAAGCACTGATAAAATCATTTCTGAAGCTTGACTCTGAATTGAGCACTAAACCCAGATTGAAACTAATCCAAGATCACTCTGATTCAGCTCATATGAACAGGTTACAGTTGCCCCATTCGTAACACAACTAGTTGTATTTCTGTGAATTACTCATTGATTTCAACCACATGATCAGAGCTGTTGTGCTCACTTTCATTGGTATAACTCCTTAGAAAATCAAAAAATCTTCATTTACATTATCCTGTGGGAAGGAGAAAGGAAAAAAAAAAAGAGGCCATGTGTTTTGTTCATTCAGCTTGCATGACTTCTGCTAGCTTCAAATCTCCTTTTTCCAGTGTACATGAAAGCACTGACTCTTCTTTTCAATGATAATTTTGCTAAGTGTTTCATTTTGACTCTGGCTAATTTTCTCTATAGCATTTTTAAACTTTGCTTTGTATTCCTGTTAATTGCGTTTTTTTTTTTTTGTATTCAGGAAGTATTACGGTGAGAAGATTGGAATCTATTTTGCCTGGCTAGGATTTTACACAGAGATGTTATTCCTTGCAGCAGTCGTTGGCTTGATCTGTTTTCTTTATGGCTTGTTTACGATGGATGAAAATATGAGCAGGTGAGTGTAGTGTTAAAAATCTCCTGGGCCTATGATGGGCAAAGCAGTATGAAAGAGTTGCTCTTGCAAAATAACAGGCAGTAATTTTAAAGCTTGTTAGAGCAAACAGGTTTCTTCTTCAGCTCTCTTATTGACAGAAATGGTGGTGGACAGCTAAAGCAGAACTTGTGGCTATTATTTAGTAAGATTCAGATTTCCACTTGTAGGTGAAAAACAGTATTTCTATTGCCATTTGGCTACAGTTTTTTTTATATCGGAGTACCTGCAGTAAAGTCCTAAAAGTAGCACTGACATCTCTCAGAATTGTTTCAAGTGTTTATTGCTGCCTTAAGCTTTTCTATTTTAATCTATCTTGCAGAGTAGTTGTCATGGCTTAAGCCCAGTCAGCCACGCAGCTACACTGCTTGGCCTGCTCTGATCAACCACACTAGTGAATGTGACAAGACTGGCATTCTTTTCTGGGAAGCTGCAAATGCTGAACTTTGAACAAAGGAAGCTCTTAAGTTACTTACTTTTAGATCAGTTTCCTATAGCAGCTCTTCAGATGCTATCGAAACAGATACTGTGTAATGTTTTTCTCCTCAGCAAAGAAATCTGTGACCCTGCAATTGGAGGAGAGATCATCATGTGCCCTCTTTGTGACCGAGAGTGTGAGTACTGGAGACTGAACACCACCTGTGAGTCCTCAGAGGTCTGTATCTGGTTCTACAGTCACTTGCCATTTTTGTTCACACTGAAAACTGGTTCGGTCCTGACCTGTTCCTGTGTATTCTGTTGCAGTATTCCCATTTGTTTGACAACGTGGCCACTCTGTTTTTTGCCATTTTCATGGGCATATGGGGTGAGTACATTTGATAAGTTTTATGTCAAGCAATAAGGAGATCTTGGCCAAACTGCTGAGGGGCACAGAAAGTGGGAAGAAGGGGAATAACAGCTTCAATATCTATCCTGCTTCAGATGCAGAAGTGATAAGAATAAAAATAATTTAAGGTGACACAGGATTTGGACTTAAAACCCCCAAACAGAACCCATCAGATATCTAGGGTATCATAAGCATTCCATACTCCTTTGTTTGTTTCCTTCGTAACCTAGGATGGAGTGGTCCAACTTTATACAGTCCTCGTAAGCGTCCCCTCTGCTCAGCCCTGCACGTTAGAAGTGTCACTGTGAGGGAGTACAGAGCTTCTATGTCTTTCCACTGGATGGTGGTCCAGCACGACTACTTTATTAGCAACACTCGTACACTGAGAATTAGCTGGCTTCTACTCTGGTTAAGTTCATACATTACAGTATGTTTTGATGATGCAGACATAGGTGGATTTCCTGCCTGTCTATAAGCAGTTTCACACCAAGTGATAAATTGTTCAGACTTGAAGATGGTATTTTCTTGAATTCAAGGCCAGGCTGGATATATTTCTGTGCAACCTGATCTAGTTGAAGATGTCCCTGCTCATTGTAGGGGGGTTGGACTACATGACCATTGAAGGTCCTTTCCAACCAAAACTATCTTATGATTCTGTGTTCTTAAACTCTGTGAAGGTTTATAAATGCAGGATAGTGTAGTTAATGTTTCTTATTTCTGTAAATACCTTGTCTCCCATTTCATACTGCCTGTATGAAATATCATATTTTCAGTTTGAATATAGATACTTCATTAGCACACAAACATCTCTGTGTGCCAACAGAAAAAAAAACTATTTGTTTATTTATTATCAAAGGATCCAGCCACATTTTGCATAGAGAATTCTCAAAAAGCCGCCCCTTCCCCCCCCCCCCCCAAAAAAAAAAAAAAAAACAGAACAAAAGCAACAAACCAAACAACAGAATAAGCTGTTGTGTGGTTATTTTACTGGACTTTGCTTGGTTTTAACCACAAGCATTTGAGTGATATGGATTAGTCCAGAAAGTACCAGCAAAAGAGTTGAGAACTGCAGAAGATAAGCTTTCCTGTGTTTGTGTAAACCGTAAAGCCTCTCCAGGTCAAATAAGATCAATCAGATTACAAGAGGTTTACATTTTAAAGTAGTTTATAGAGGGCTTTTAAAATGTTATACAATATTATAACTTTTATAGTTGTTTATATATGAAATCAGTTCCCTCTAGTGTCTTAAAAATTTCTTAAGCCAGCCTCACCCTTGGAGCATATGAAGAGCATCAGACATTCACAGTCTTTAAAATGACCATGATATCAAATAATAAGAAAAAAGCAACTGAAATCTTTGAACATGATACTTGAAAACATTTTGCTTGTTTGTAATAGTTATTCATATGTTGCAGGCTTATGCAGAAGCAATTAGTTGAATTAGCACATCCCTTTGATAATTCCATGTTGCTATTTGCATATGTAATGTAGTTAAACTGTAATTGAACATGGCCATCATAAACATGGAAGTACCTGTGTTCTGTCTTGCCATTTTTCTTGTCATCTACTTCTGGAATTCAATTAGCTAATGAATTACTTAATCCATATTATGGTCTTAGCTGTGACCTTTAATAGGTAGTCAGTAAAAATAGATGGGTTGCACTGTGAGACCACTGAATAGAAGCTTGTGCAGAAATAACTTTAACTTAGTTCCTGAACTTGTTCCCTTCTCCCTTAACTGTATTTTAACGTTTCCAAACTGCAGTTACACTTTTCTTGGAGTTTTGGAAGAGACGGCAAGCTAGACTGAAATATGAGTGGGATTTGGTTGATTTTGAAGAGGAACAGCAACAACTCCAGCTGAGGCCTGAGTATGAGGCAAAATGTACCCAGAAGAAGAAGAACCCTGTTACTCAGGTAGGGAGTGTGTTGAGTTGACATGCACACGGATTCAGTTGTATGGTGACAGTTTGCTTATGTGCGAGTTGTGTCCCAGGAACAACAAGCCTGTATCTTACAGCTAGGTGAAGATTTGTGAGGCACATAGGCAATGCCACATTCATCTTGGAGCAGGGCAGGCCCTCAGCTACTGCATCCCCAGAAAGCAGTGCTTGTGACAGCAGGGGATTTGGCTGAAGTGTGGAGAATGTGATGCAAACCTTACCTTTCCTGAACACAGTGGATTGCATCAAAGCAGAATTTGCTTCTGGAGTGCATGCATAACCTTCATTAATTCTGCTCTCTTGATTTTAATTTCTACTGAAAACCAATTTTAGGAAGAAATTCTTCACTATTGAGGATGGTGAGGTGCTGACACAGGTTGTGGCTGCCCCATCCCTGGCAGTGTTCAAGGCCAGGTTGGACAGGGCTTGGAGCAACCTGGTTTAGTGGAAGATGTCCCTGCCCATGGCAGGGAGTTGAAACTAGATGAGCTTTAAGGTGCCTTCCAACCTGCACCATTTGGGTTCTGTGATATATTAAATCAGGAATTTAACAGGGGCAAAGTTTATAATTTTTACTTGGCTAACACTATCTTTACAGTGTCCTTCATGTTTCCAGGTAGCAGTCTCTGAAATCTTCATGCCTTTAAAAGGACTCTTTCTCATCCCTATGCCACATAGGAAGAAGCAGCCATCTTGATCTAAAGATACATAGGTGTCACTAGCTGTGGTTTTGTTTCTCATATAAACCACTTTGTCTGGGGAACACTAGAGAAAGAGAGGTTGCTGAAGCTCTTTGAAATCTAATAGAGATACAATTAACCACACTCTTTAACTCTCTTAAATGCTCTATATAAATGGTTGTCTTCATTTATATTTAATTTAGGTAGGTGTTACTGGACAAATTCAGGGATCAGATGGTCGCATTCCAGTACGACATCTACCACCTCAATTTGACCTATTTTTAAATCGGCATTCCTCTTCCTAGAATTGCATATGAATAACTTCTTTTCACTAGGTCAAGTGAAGTCATAGGTGTACTTAGAGAACAAGTTTTCAGACGAGAAATAGAAGCTTAGAGCATGTGAAGTATCATTGCTATATAAACAGTAGCCCTGTCTTTCAGGGCTTCTCTCCTTAGCTATTATGAAGTGTATGCACTAATCTTATTGCTCATGAGAGATGTTTTTTCTGTCTCTACTTCCCCTTCTGCACATGAACTGTTAATGCTGCTGTTCTTCAGTGTACGAGTAACAGGTTTGAGTTACACAGAGATTTTGGAGAACCACAGACTATGATTTTGAGTGTAGCTCTGCTGAGTTACTGATTTCTGCATGCTCAGGAAAAGAGTTGTGGGTAAAACAGTTTTTCATTAGCTGGTTCTGCTAATTGAAAACCCATGTCTGCATGTGGGATGCTAGCTACTAGCTTGCATTCCTGTGTATGCTCAGTCTCAAAACTGACTGGCAGGTGGTGTTTATGTCAGCACAGAGCAAACCCATAGTCTGAGGAGGTAAATAAGCTGCAGCAGATCACAGCCAGAGATGGCATGGATTAGGTGTTTGTGTATAACTGTTGTGAGGGAGGAGATTGTGAGCTCCTTACATTCATGCAGATCTTTTAGGTAGAATTGTTTATTTCAACTGCATTTGGGAAATAGAAATTGGACCATAATACATTTTTCTTGTCTCAGAGTGAGATACTGTGCTGCTCTGTGCTTTCTAAGTATGCATTAACAATTACCATAAAAATTAATGAGTGTCCAATCCCTTGTTTTATGATGCATCAATTTATTACCTTGATGGATTTTCAGGAGCTTTTGTGCATTGGGGTTTAGCAGTGATCATTATCAACACCCAGTTCTAGCAAACCATACTGGTTAGCCAGGCTGCAGTGTTGTTTCCTTTTATTTCATAATGTGGAATACTGAACACATGAAAGGACCATGCTTTCAATCACTTAATTCTGCAGACTGATAAGGCAATATGGGTCCAGATCACTTGAGTTACCTGCATCACAAGGCTGGCTTTGCCTCACTCAGAAAAGTATTTCTTCATTATTCTTGGCCACGATCCAAAATTCTAGGTGCTCTAAAATAGAAATTGCCCATTTGGGGGCTTCAATAAAAACCTCCATTTGCTTGTGGTATTAACCAAGCTAGATCATAATGAAAATGTGGGTTTGCTGATTATGGTAGAATCATAATTTAAATAAATAATGAAGCATTCCATTCAAACTTAGGCTCTGTCATTGCACACAGTTGCCTACACTTTGTTCTAAAGTAAAAAGCTTGTTGAATAGCCTAGAATGTGCAGAATATTTGTTCTTAGTACAGAATATACATATTGTTTACTAATACAAAATAGATATAAAAAGTTATGGTGGAGCCAATGTAAATGCTGTGGTGATGTGGATGGAGGGGAGTATTTGTTTCTTGGCACCTGCTGTACTTGGTGTTTAACTTGACAGATGTGGATGTGGCTGCCCCATCCCTGGCATTGTTCAAGGACAGGCTGGGCGAGGCTTGGGAGCAACCTGGTCTAGTGGAAGATGTCCCTGCTAGAACTAGATGAGCTTTAAGTCCCATCGAACCCAAACCATTCTGCGAGTCTGTGTAGAGTCACCTAATATCTGCTCATATCTTCAGCTTTGTTTTACAGTTCTGTTAATAGAGCCTTTAACTGTGACATCACCATGTAACTTGACTACAGTATTGATAACTGCGTTTGGCAAGAATACACAGGCAGATGCAGGCAGTAAACCTCTCCTGAGAGAGCAGCACATGATACTTCAGACAAAAGCGCATTGGTGTGAATAAGCCGACTGAGTAAAGAATATGTCTATCAAGAAATAATGCTTGTAAAACAGCTGCTCCTGCTTGGTTATGTCAGGGAGAAATGTGCAGCTCAGTTGCAGCCATTGTATTCAGCATAATTACACCACATTATGCTAGGGTGTTTGGCACATTCTGGGCTTTTGTGCAGCAGAAAATAAACCCCCTTCAACATTTTTCAGGTTCGGTATCTTCTGTTGTCAAATAAAGTATTTTCTGGTTCACTGTACTTAATATTGTGCTTGCCTATAGTAATTGGTGACTCTTTGAGGAGCATAAGCATCCTTTATCAATGCCTTTATCAAATTCAGGTTATTTTTTTATTAGCTCTTTTTCCATAGGTGTTAGTTCTTAAATGATCCTTTGTTAACACTTGTAATCTGGTATTTTAGGAGTTAGAATTGGTTGCAAAAAAGAGAACTTTACACGAGCATGGGAAGTTGTTCATGTTCTATGTGGGGATACTCGCCTGGGTAAGACCTTGCTGCCTGGTGCTGTGGCCGAAGTTGGCAACTAATGAATGTGACCATTTCTTCAATTAAAACGAAAAAGAAATTGAAGGAGTGGAGGAGAATGTTCTCTGGCTGTGTGGAAAAAAAACATGGCGCATTCAAGTAAATGACTGTTTTAAGAAACCTAAACATGAAGAATTCATTAAAATTCAGTCTAGCTGTGGGCTCTGAGCTGTCTGACAGCTGACCCAGCATTACAGTAATCATTCTGGCCTGCTCATCTAATGAAAAAGTTGGTCTTTTTTCTTCAGCTACTGATTGTTTATTGCAAAGGTGTAACCATTCTTCACAGGTACTATCTTTCAGCATTTTTATGGCCACTTCTGCCCTGATCTGTATTCCCCCCAACCCCAGATCATGTCCTATCTGCCCTTCTAGAGAGAGGGGTTCCTAAATGGTTTTGCTCAGATGTGGGCACTTCCACTCAGCTGAAGAGAGCTCTGTGGGCTGCTTGATATTAGAATAAGATTACAGATCTGTGAACTGTGCTGTGCTTGCTTGACTGTTTCAGGAGATGGAGCCTTATTTGCCTATAACTAGCCAGGCTGTGCGGTTTTGCATCTCAGGAACTACAGTGTTGTTCTGGGTGAGCATCTTTTTGAATCGTCACTGTAACGTATATCACAATTGCTGATCATCACTAATCACAACCTTAACACACACTGGTTTTAATCGTGATATTAACACATGCTTTTATTATTGTCCTGCACATTTCATGCTGACATGCAAAATGCACTTCAAATAAAAAAAGAATAAATTTAGAAATCTGTTAATTAGGAATTTAATTGGGCATTTTAGCATCAGGATAAGTTTTTCTCTGGCTTATGAGCTGTTAACAGACCATACTGACAAAAAATGTAGTAAAGGCAAAAAAAAAATATCCAACCAAAAAAGTGTTATTCACTACAATGAAGTACCTGCATAATCCTCTGTAGAAGTACCTGCAGAGTGAATTTCAGGGCGGATGATATAATCTGGCTTGTCTCTTCCATCTCCATGTCTGAATTCGTATTCTTCTGCACTTTTTAATGTTGGTATTGTCTGCTTTTCTTGCATTAATTAAATAATTCTGTTTGATTTGATGTCTCAAGTATAACACAGTATCTTGCCTGTGTTCTTTGCATTTCAATGTTACTGAGCTCCTAGCCATAAAGATTGAAACATGAAGATTTCATCAGCTTTTTAGGTATACTGAGCTATGTGTTTCATGTCTCTTTTCCTTAGGTGTCTCTGATTATAGCTAGCATGATTGCAGTGATTGTATATCGCCTCGCAGTGTACGCTGCCTTCGCCAGCCTCATGGAGAACACGCAGACTCTGCAACCCGTCAGTGGGTTACTGACCCCTCAGCTGGCGACTTCAGTCACAGCCTCGTGCCTGAATTTTGTCATCATCATGATCCTGAATTTCTTCTATGAGAGAATAGCCATCTGGATTACTGACATGGGTAAGCAGTGCGCTTGAAGACAAGCCGCTCAAGGAATCGCTGAACATAGAACTTATCTAGAGGTGCTCTGCACAGTTGTTCTCCACTTGGGCATAGTGGGAGCACCAGGATGGTAGCCTGTAGCATGCAACAGGTTATATCCATGGCCATGTGTGGAACATTTTCCCTGCATTTGAATAGTTATTATAAACTAGTTTCTCTTAGTATAATATTTGCATATATTAAAACTAGTCTGTGGACACAATCCAACTTGTGAACCCAGTTAAAACTTACGTGTTATATTAGTCACCAAAGCAAGATCAAACTGATTGAGTTAGAAGTCCTGGAGGTATGTTTTTAAAACCAGATCATAGCTTGCACAGCCATCTTAACAAGATAAAAGACTAAACAGTCATGTCTCGTCCTTTAGAGGAAAAGATAGGAAGATGGGAGATGGGCAAGTACAGTATTTCCATTGTTCTGAGCGCTTTTTCCCTTAGCAGTAGATTTACAAATTTCGAATGTCACAGATTAAAGGCAGAGATTGGGCAGGTTGCAAAGCTGGACCTGCGATGTGTCACTGTGGCTGTAGCCATTGGTAGCCTTGCTCCAGAACTGGAAGAGCTGGTAGGCAGGTCCAGAAAGAACTATGACTTTTGTAGCAGATTTGATGCTTGTCTGTTGCTTGCTTGCTGGAAATATCCTCCCCTAGAGCCCTTCTTACATATTTTGTTTTGTTTGCACTTAATGATTTAGAGGTACAACTCCCTGCAGGTATTTTATAGAAAGAAATAATTGCAGAATATTCAGCTGGGGGCAGGCAGAGCTGAAAGTATGAGGTGTTTGGGGTTTGTACAGCTGTCATAAAAACAGTTAGGTAATCTTTTTTTATGAGGTCTTACAAGTGGAATCAAGAACTGAAAAGTGTTTCTTGCAGAAAGTTAATGGGATGCTGAATTGGGTTTATTTTGATTTATCATGGACTGTCTCTTTTCTCGGAGATCTGTATTACTTATCTCGCTTGGCCAAATTAGACCGAAGAAAGAACAAGTAATAAGTAAAAATGCTCCTAGCAATTTCATAAAACAAACATAAAATCATGATTTTTAATCTTTCTTTTTTTGACGGGCATGAAATAATAAGCATGAAGGCTCAGCAGTGTTATTTTGCTGCTTGCAAGTGTGGAGGATTAATTTTCAAAGTCAGCTCTGCCTGTGGTTATCAATTACAGGCGAAAAATCAGTTGGCTTTTTTGGGAGCTGCTGCCCTCTTCTGGCAGCTGCACTAAACCCGGGCTTAGAGGCACCCTTGTTTCCAGGGGAGGAAATGCTGCTGTCAGGAGTTCACACCCTCTGCACTCCTGAATTCCCTTAAAAGGTTAGGCCAGGTTTTGCTTTCAGGTATGGAATATAACCTGCCTCTGGCCTCTGAACGTTGTGTGTCTGACAAAAACGTTTGAAGAGCTCACTGACAACAGAAATGTTTTAATGTGCTGCAAGCTAGGCAGACTGCCTCACCTGAGTGCTGCCTCCTTTGTAGTACGCCTTGCTGTTAAGTTCCAGTAAATACTCCATGATCTTCTGCCGTGCCAACTGACGCCAAGCTTGGAAATGTTAGTTTACTCAGATCTGTAAAATCACTTTACCACAGGGCAGGTCAACTCAACACATTTGCCAGATCCTGACCAATTCAGAGGCACTTGAATGCTTGTACTTTGTTCCCCTTTCTCTCAGCTTGAACTGGTTGTATGTTATCATGTAACAGACATTTTACCAATGTCCTTAGGGCTTCCTGCTACCTTTAAGAATGTAAACATTATTATTATGTGCTATGACGGCAGCAAAACTTCAGCAAAGGCTTGGTGATGCTCAGCAGTACCCAGATGCCTGTATCCTTCCCTGTTCTTCCCCTGTTGAGAGTCTCTTCTCTCAGAGGCAGAAGGCCCACCCAGTTTCTGCTGATTTCAGTGTTATACACATACAGTATATTGGGAGAAAAAAAACAAACTATAAGATACTTTTCTACCACAAAGAAAAAAAAAGATATTATCACGTACATAGCCAACAGTGAAATTGTCATACTATAGGAGTCCCTGCTAGTCACTGTGTGAGATTCATCTTGGATCGTCTAAAATAGCCTACAGTTTGGGGATGGGCAAGTGCTAGTGGACGGTACAAGGAAAGGAAAATGGAAGCCTATACAAGTTTTAAGAATGAATTTCACTTGCATGCCTACTCAGAATGTTGCCTTATAAATTAAAGCTAGAGTGTTTGAGAGAAGGAACTCCGTCTGCTGAAATGTTTGTAGGTGGTTTTCTTTCTTTTTTCCTTTGGGGATGTAAGGGTGCTGTGCATGATGATTGTTTATGAATCTGTATCCTTTTAAAAGGAATAAAGGGAAATAAAATTACTCCTTTCCATTTTACAGAGATACCAAGAACTCATATGGAATACGAGAACAGGCTCACTATGAAAATGTTTTTGTTCCAGTTTGTCAACTACTATTCATCCTGCTTCTATGTGGCCTTCTTCAAAGGGAAATTTGTTGGTTATCCAGGTGCCTACACATATATGTTTAATCGCTGGCGAAATGAGGAGGTAAGACTTTCTTGTTTAAGGTGGTTTGAATAACAGTAAACTCTTTATCCCCTCCAGTTATAAATTACCAGTTTCTCATTTGACTTGGACTAAGCTGGACCTCAGTTGGCCATCCTGATGCTGATGGAGAGGCATCCCTGGCAGTGTTCAAGGCCAGACTGGACAGGGCTTGGAGCAGCCTCGTCTAGTGGAAGATGTCCGTGCCCATGGCAGGGGGTTGGGATAAGATGATCTTTAAGGTCCCTTCCAACCTAAACCATTCAGGCATTACAAGGACTCTTCCTGCTGTTGCTTATCAGGGAAACGCCAGCAGTGAAATTTGTGATTGTCAGACATAAGGGTGAAAAAATCAAAATGTCTGCCGTGGCCCAAGTTCTCCTGAAATTGCAGTGGGTCTCGCCATAGGTCTTAGGTTAAAGGAAGTTACTATAAATGTATATAGATTATAGATTACCACCTCTTAAGGGATCATTACAAGGAGGCAATCCTGACCTGGCTTAATTTCAAGACTTTAAAGTAAATTCATTTCAGGCATCCCTGTTCTGCACTGCTCCTCATCCACTGACCTTCATTGGGAAGTATGACAAGGCACGCTGTAGACCACCAGGCAAAGCTCCCATTAGCTTCCATTGCTATCACATTGCATCCAGGCTATTCCAGCCCTGTTTGTTGTGGATGAAGTGTTCAGCAGCCCAAGCCTCATCCTTCATCCCATGTTTCAAAACGGCATCAGGTCCTTAAAAAGTTCAAATCTCAGTGGGAGCCAAATGAATTTTATCCTCCCTAAGATAGCATCATCCTAAGATGTGCGCCATCCCTGGAAGGGGGGATTACTCTTCTTTAAATGGTCATTATAGAATCTCAGAAGCATGGAGTGGTTTGGGTTGGAAGGGACCTTAAAGCTCATCCAGTTCCAACCCCTTGTCATAGGCAGCAACATCTTCCACTAGACCAGGTTGCTCCAAGCCCCGTCCAGCCTGGCCTTGAACACTGCCAGGGATGGGGCAGCCACAGCTTCTCTGCGCAACCTGTGCGAGCACCTCACCATCCTCACAGGGAAGAGCTTCTTCCTTATACCTAACGTAAATCTCCCCTGTTTTAAGTTCTTTTCATCGCCTCTTGTCCTGTCACTACAGTCCCTGATGAAGAGTCTCTTTCTGGCATCCTTGTAGGCTCCCATCAGATACTAGATACTAGTATGTTTTCAGACATGTTCTTTTTTTATCAATGTGTTTTATCAAGCACATTGAGCACTGAAAAGCCTTTCTGTAACAGCCTTCCTGGAAGGGTATCTTCGCAGCCTAGGTGAAAATGAAGTGTTGTCCTAAAACATTTTAAGAACTCTTCTACTTGTCTGTCTTTTAATTTCTACCTTAGCAGGTTAGGGATTATCTGGGTTATATCTGTTATTCGTGTCCATTAACCCTCTATTTGTCTCTGCCAGTGCGATCCTGCAGGCTGCTTGATAGAATTGACGACACAGCTCACCATAGTCATGGCTGGCAAACAGATCTGGGGAAATATTCAAGAAGCCATTGTACCGTAAGTTCCCTCTTACACTGAGATGCCCTTGTTGTAGACAGGAGATTCTTGGAAGAAATAACAAGTGTTGCCATATGAAGAAGCTAAGATAAAGTCTTTCAAGACAAGTAGACTTATTTCATAGAGGCTTTTGACCTCTTTTTTTGTGAAAGCTGTGCTTGTAAAAGCATGTTGCGGCAAGGAGCTTGCTTAGAGAAAGGGATACTTAATCTACTTCTCTCATTATTAACCTTTTATCTGCATTTGCAGCTGGATTTGTAACTGGTGGGGGCGCCGGAAAGCTAGAAATAATCCAGAAAATTTATACAGTCGCTGGGAGCAAGACCATGATCTGCAGACATTTGGAGCTCTAGGCCTGTTCTATGAATATCTAGAAATGGGTAAGTTTAAAAATACACATTTAGAATTGAGGACAAGACACTTTGTACTGACACTGTAAAAAACAAAAGCTTCTCAATTCATTGTTCTGGGTTGATGCCACCACTTTCATCTGGTAAACAGCAGATGATTAACTGCTGGGAATCGTTAAATAGGTCAGCCCAATGAAAAAAAAACTAAACAAACAAGCTGCCTTTGCATCTTAGACTGTAGGGGATTTCACAGAAGCACTGCAAAGACTATCTATTACCCTCATTTGAATGGGGAACATTATTCTCAGTGCAGCTAGCTGTCTTGCTGTCTGTTCTTCTTCCCTAGCATATTCTCAGCTGATGTCAGTGCAAGTTGTAAGTATGGGAAAGTTGTAAGTATGGGCTGAGTGCCAAATATTCTGTAGAGATGGGCACCACAAATAGGAGGTCTGTAAACTGGACAGGGGAAAATTCCATTTAGTTTGAGGTTTGTGCTGATCAGTGCTTCCATACAGTGAGCAGCCCAGCAGAGGGAGCTTGCGTAGCACAATAGGCTTTTCCAAAGGTAATGTGAGCAGGTCAGTGTATGAAATTAGTCTACAAACCCTGAGAAACGAAAACAAACACTGAAGGCAAACTAAATGTAAAGTACACTAAAAATATATATAGAGAGAATATTTGTTTATTATAAGGACAGAATTTGTTGAAAAGTGGATCTTTGTACTGTTTTATTTCTACAGAAACAGTCAAGTGTTCTAGATTGCCTAGAGATGTGTAGCTTTATTATTGTCACTTCCTACACTTTGTGATATTTCATACAGGGCCCTAATCTTGTGAAGCTAATATACTCAGAACAATTACTGCTGTCAGCCGTGCCTGTAATAGATGTCCTTGCTCTTCCTGAAGCAAAGCTGAGCCACTAAGCTCCAGCATTGCCCTGGGGCTGCTAAGCGAGTAGGGATTTCGTTTCTTGTCTAAGATGAAGAACTCGTCACTGAAAGCATGGAGGAGCTGATGGCTGGTGCATGGGAATTTATTTTTATCCACTGCCTAAACCAGACAAGATGTTCTATTTCCTGTCTTTAAGACATCATGGCAGTATTGGCTCTGCACTGAGGACTGTCACATTCTGTACCAAGCGACATTTCATTTTGGTAATGACTGAAGAAATCGTTCGTGTATTTTATTTGCAATTCTTAAACTAACATTAAAACTCCGTAGTGGAACTGTTACATTCAGATTTGGTATCATTTAGACTAAACCAGTAGCCATAGGTGGAGGTAAGGTTGTGATATTTCTTCTTTTTCATTTAGGAGTATAGCTGACAAGTAACAGGAGAATAGGCTTGCTCTGTACAAACTGCAGGAATGGAAAACCAGCCTGGTTTTGTTCCTCTCATAATTCAGAAATGCAAAGGATGAGTATGTTCCAGTTTCCCTACAGCTGCATTCCATTCAGGAGACAACTGTGGCGCCATCAAAAAACTAGTATCCAGCACTACTGGCAGCACTATTGGAGAGGACCCAGACGCCCCATTCCCTTGGGTGCTGCTGATTGGCAGCCCTGAGAGAGAGACTAGACAAGTCTCAGGGCTGGGGCAGGTTGCCACTTGGCTTCGGGCAGGGCTGGAGATGACTTCTTGCTTGTCTGCAAGTGGCAACTTGCATGTTTCATTGTCACCCTGAAGGTACTTCTATAGCGGCAGATTTTGGCACTTTTCTTTTCTCCCTTGCAGTCATTCAGTTTGGATTCATTACTCTCTTCGTGGCATCTTTTCCCCTGGCTCCCCTCCTTGCTCTGATGAATAATATCCTGGAAATACGAGTAGACTCCTGGAAATTAACCACCCAGTATAGGAGACCTGTGGCTGCAAAAGCACATAGCATAGGAGTTTGGCAAGAAATCCTGAATGGAATGGCCATCTTGTCAGTCGTCACTAATGTAAGTACATTAACTGTGCTACATCAACTTTGATTCTTCCGTGTACTCACAATTTGCAGATTTAAAAATCATCTGATGCTTTTTGTCCTTCATCATCAGTATTGACTTCATCACATGTTACCTCATTTGGGTGGTTTGGCTTTTCTGTTGATTACACAATCCACACTTCATTGGACTGTAATCTTTCAATCACTTGGCTGTGTTTTCCAGCATTTTGGAATGGTATAAGCCAGTCTGAAGCTTAGTTTGGTGAAGCACACTGATTGCCTCGAGGGGACAGGAGAGGTGGATTAATTGCATCGGCCTGATGACATTATGTCTTGTCATACCCATTCTGCTCATTCAGCTGCGTCCTGATGCCCCTGTGGGGCCAGTGGCTCAGAGTACTTAGTAGAAACTGGAAACTAAATGCTGTGCTAGTATTTCATCTGAATTATAATGGAAGGCAGACTGGCGAGCACAAGAGTTGCCTTTTTCTAATGTGGAATATTGAGTAGTATCAGATCTGCAAGTGTCTTGGGCAATAAATCCACTTGCAGGTATTACCTAAGTAGTAAGGTACCTGAGCATCTGAAGTATCTCCAGTTCCCAGGCAAAATGTGCTGGGAGCCATTGTTTAGTTTTCAGATACAGCTGGAGAAGGTGGCTCTCTCCTTTTCCCTCCAGTGATCGCACACTGAATTTGAGTTCATCCTCTCACAAGAATTCAAAACCGTATCTGTTATCACAGGTAGAAGACAGTTTGGTTTGAGGGGATATTTGGGATTTGGTGCCTCTTGTAAGGAGTGTTCCCATATTTTTTGTTCACTGAATGCAGGGGAGGCTGCAGTCAGTGTCTTTACCAAGGTGCAGTGCCCTGGCTATGCTGCTTACGCTTGCTTTAAAAGATTCTGAGTTACACCACTAAGTCACAGTGCCAAAACCCTCACAAGGTTTGTGGGCCACCTCCTTAATTCCTTTTCCAAATTTCTTTTTCAGGCTTTTATTGTTGCATTCACATCAGATATGATTCCTCGTTTAGTTTACTACTATGCTTATTCTGAAAACGAAGACTCGCCAATGTCTGGATACATAAACAATAGCTTGTCAGTGTTTCAAATCTCAGATTTTCCTGACAGAAATAAGCCTAAAGTGAATCGAGAAGACTTTGTCATATGCAGGTTGGTGTTGGTGTAATAACAGATATTTTCTTAGTATAATACAGTATGTGTATATTATATATATAATTCTTAGTATGTGTAGAATACAGCATAAAAAGTCAATGCAGGTCTAAGCAGTCCACTAGAACTGAAATGATGTCATTCTCATCATTCTCAAGTGTGAGAGGTAGTGTTTAAACTATTAACAAAGTGGTGCCTGAGATGGTACGAGATCAAAATCACCTTTTTGCTGTTTCGAGTCTCACTGCTAATCTTTTTGCTTGTTTGGGGGTGGTTTTACTTAATTAAACTATTGATTTTTGAATGATAGAGGAGATTGATGTCCTTAAGGCTGCAAACATCAGCCTATATTTTCAAAGGTTTTTAGGCTGCAATGCCTAGGCTAGACAAGAAAGTATCAATAAGGGGATGTTTGGATTCCAAAGCTGAAAATGAGACATGGTATTTGAAGTCAATGATTACTGTGCTAGGTATCACCAAGGATCTGGGCCATCCTGTTTTCACTAAAATAAAATAATCCTTTCTTGCTGGAAGAAGCATTGGAAGCTCCAGAAGAATTGGAGAAGTCCATGGTAAAAGAAGAATATTGATTTGATGAAAATGGAAAAGACCCAAATAAATGAACATACAAAAAAACCCCAGGACTTTAAGAAGAAACTACATTTGTATGATGCATTAGCTTTAAAACCTCAGGAGTCTTTATTCTATTCATACATGTGAGTGTAGAACACTACTCAAGACTGTCCTTCCATTAAACCCTGCATCTGCCCAGCCCATAATCTGACAATGTCTGTGACATTTACTCAAAACCTGCCTGTCACTCTGATCCATTCCACCCCTCTGTCCTGTATTAGCTGATGATTGCCTGAAAAAAAGTGACCTATGTACAAAACTTCACTTCTCACACATCCTCATCTCTGCTCCGCTGCAGTGAGCATGAGGGTGTTTAAACAAACATCACATAGAAACAAATCAAGGGGCAACCTTTTTCTGCCGAAGGAAACAGCATTTAAAACAAGGTGAAAAGGTTCCGTAAGTGACAGCTGTATTTGCTTGTCAGTGTCACTGAGCTTGTAGTCTGTCTCAGACTGACGGTGACATTTCAACTTTGCATGTCTTTCTATCCAACAGGTACAGAGACTATCGATACCCTCCAGATCATGAGAGGAAATATTTACACACTATGCAGTTCTGGCATATTCTTGCTGCAAAACTGGCCTTTATAATTATTATGGAGGTATGTTCCCTAAAAAATTTTCCTGCTGAAATTGGTACTGTAGCTAGTTACTAATAGTACCAAAATTAGAACTGCTGAGTATCAAATCGTTGCTTCCCTAAGTAATACCAAACTCAAGAAGGTCTTTATGCAGATGGAAAAGACAGGAACCACCTCTACTAGCACTTTTCCTTCCCCTGGTTTCACTGAAGAGCTGGATGGGAGATGGCCATACCCAAAATCCAGAAAGCATTTTGCAGTGATACATATTGGCTAAAAATAGCTAAATCCATAATTTGCTTAATTGTCACTTCAGTATTAGGCCACTGTCTTGCAAGTTTGCAGCGGAAATAGAGTTGTTAAAGTCTCTTCTTCAGCACGCCTCAGATATACATTATGAAATGTATTCTGTTTGTGAGAAAAAAAAAAAAAGCTCTCTTTAGGGTTAGATAAAACAATAGGTCATTTGGTAATGAGTTGTGACATTTCTCCTGGTTTCCTTTTCTTTTTTTTCCAGCATGTTGTATTCATTGTCAAATTCTTCGTAGCATGGATGATTCCTGACGTCCCTGCGGACGTGAAAGCCAAAATAAAACGTGAAAAATATTTAACACAGAAAATCCTGCATGAGTATGAACTTGAAAAACTGAAGGAGAGACTGTGTCAAGGTGATAAACGAGCCACAGAGAAAGAGTTCATTGCCACAGAAGGGAGAATGGAGTTATCCAGAGCCATGTAGTTGAAAAAACAGCTTTTTGGGATTTAGCTCGTTTCAGCTTTTTTTTTCATCTGTGATTTGCTCAGTACACATCATGTTGATGTGTTTCAACAAAGGTTTCAGCCCTTTGCTTTCAGTCCAAAGATTTTAGACTTTGCTCTAAAAGCCTCACTGAGCATTCTAGGTTTAGGAAATCTACTTAACTGTATGATTTCACCACTGTTTTCTATTTACCCATCACTTTGGATAAGAAGCATAATTTTGTCATCCTCAAATTTGGATTATCCAATATAGAGAACATTACCCTCAAAGGGCTTACAGGGCAGGGTAAGGTCATGGTGGCCAAGCATCCCCACTTGTTGCTCAATGCAGAATTCCAGGATGATACAAAAGTATCCAAGCTGAACAAAACGGCTTATCATAGAGGAATCCTGCTGTGGAAAATACTGACAAGTAGTATTTTTATGACATGATCTTCTAAACAGGAGAACACTCCAGATGAAAGGGTTAGGGTTTGGGGCTTATTTTTTTATCTGCTATGTCTTAGAAAACATTTGTTTGAAACTTTGAACTTCTATTCACTTTTTAGAAGGAATTGCTATTTTAAAATATATTGGCTTAATTCTACTTGGAATTACTTACAGGCACAGAATTCAGTCAGTACTAATGAAGGAAAAAAAAATAATTTATTTTCGTAAAGATACCACCTGCCAAAGAGTTTGCTCTTTAGTGCAAATATTGACAAATCATCTAATTACAGTATTTTTTGAGAATATGTATACAGTTCAGACAAGTGTAACTAATTTATTTCTCCATCTCAAAAACTGCCATTGAAAGATGATGTTTGACATGAGTTTTTGCCAAGACTGCTCCTTTCTTTGGATTATTGGGCTCAAGCTATGTGTCTGTACTCAATTCATAGTGCAGACTGTGACAGTGCAGTCAGTGACGGGGAGCTGGACTGCCACACTCATGGATCTAAGCTGGATCTATAGTCAAAAGATTTTTTGAGTATGCCAAATAATCTCTGTTTGGGTTTTGTTGTCCTTATGCATAGGAGCCTGGGGTTTGGACATTTGTTTTCTTTTATTTCTTTTTAATTTTTAAGAAGGATTTTTTTCCTATTTTGTCATAAAGCTTTTCTCCAGAGTTATCAAGGTTATAAATATATAATAACTACTTGTGCAGAGTAGCTACCAGCTGCTTCTGAATGTGCCCTCATGTTCTAATTTGAAGCAGGCATTTTTATGAGTTTGCTGTATATTTGAAACATATCAACGCTTCCATGCTTAGTGCCTTGTTTGTTTGCATTTGGCAGAAGATGTGAAAATGCTCGCTATGGGGAAATGCCTGTTTCCAACGTGCGTGCTTGCAGGCGTCGTGATACTGTGAACCTTCACCCAGAGCTGTTCAGTGTTAGCCAAACCATGCTTACTTTGGCACACTTCTGCATTAGTGCTGCTGGAGCTGCTCGCAGAGAGCCACTGATAGATACCATGACTGTTTCAATGAAGTAGCACCAGACTTGAGTTCTCTCATGCTGAAGTGCTGTAGCTAGAGAGATGAGAAATTTTACCATGTTTGCACTTAAAAAGTTATACTTCCTTGCAGGTATACACAAAAATAATCCAGATTGGTATTCCATGTCAGCCAAATGATGCACTGTGTACTAGATCCACAACTTAAGGTTTATGTATTTTGTTTTAGCAGACCTAGCCTACATCTGGGGGTGCTCGGCTAATAACCTTAATGTTGTAATAGAGTTTTAAATCCATGGAACTGCCATTATTAGCTAAAGTTTTTTAAGTGCCTACCTCAAACAAACATAGAATCATAGAATTATGGAATAGTTTGGTTGGAAAGGGCCTTAAAGCTCATCCAGTTCCAACCCCCTGCCACGGGCAGGGACACCTTCCAGTAGACCAGGTTGCGCCAAGCCCCATCCAAGCTGGCCTTGAACACTGCCAGGGATGGGGCAGTCACAGCTTCTCTGGGCAACCTGTGCCAGTGCCTCACCACCCTCACAGGGAAGAATTTCTTCCTTGTATCTAACCCAAATCTCCCCTGTTTAAGTTTAAACTCATTACTCCTCGTTCTATCACTACAGTCCCTGAAGAAAAGTCCCTCTCTGGTATCATTGTAAGCCCCCTTCAGATACTGGAAGGCTGCTCTGAGGTTTCCACAGAGTTTCTCTTCTCCAGGCTGAACAGCCCAAATTAGCCTGGTTTGGCTGCCAGTCAGGGAGTTGACGAAGATGTACATTTCTTATTTACTGTAAGTTAATCAACTTTGTTCTATAAGTTTGCTTGAAAAACCAAGCACATTGGCCATTTGCCTTCATGCTGAACTGACTGTGCTCATGAGTATTCAGATGTATTTGAAGTAATGGATGTATTGGAGGAATGCATGTATAAATAAATTAGCTCTGCTGCTTAATGTATAAGCCAAAGAAGAGTATCAGTCGCCATAATTATGGGCACCACACCGGAATTAACACAATGCAGGCACTTTGCTGCTTTTTGCACATATACTGTTAACTAAACTGCTTAATTTAGAGTTCACAGTTCTGTTACTGGTAGCAATGCCAACAGTTGATTCAGATGGTAAGGTGAGGAGATGCAAAATGATATTTCTATGCAAAATGTACAATCTGATTGAAGCTAAAAACAGATTTGAAAATTCAGTATGAGATGCACTATTCCTGCTTAGGAAACATTAGTTTCTTCAGGTGCTGTAATCAAGTGTCTGATATACCACACTTGAGAAGGTGATAGCAAACTAGATGTATTGTGAGTGAATAATGCTCTTTAAAAGCAAGATGGAAAACAAAAAAAACAAGAAGGAAAACAAAGATATGCCTTAGTTCAGGATACAGCATTGACATGCAGAAGCCCTGCATGCAGACCTGAATTGAATTGATGTTTTGACCCTCACTTTGTGCTTTTTCCAGCTTAGTTTTTGAGATCACTTCCTGTTGAATGCTGTACAAACAGATGTTTTGTCTATCTTGTATCCATACAATGGAAAGTGGAAAAAATCTGAAATCGGCTTATTTAAATAAGAAAGATGCATATCTTATAAATATATCCTTACACTTCATAGCATTACTTTTTCATATATAGGAACTGTTCAGAAGAGAATCTGTTGTCATCTTAAGACCTGATGTCACATAACGAATTAAGTGTTAATACCTCTTGACATAATTATTTGCCTTTACTTGTCATTGAGCAGTATTTTGACTAAATATTATTAGTATGATTAGGATTATAATGGTTCAGAGACATTTCCTGAAGTGGTCTTGGAAAGTGAGAAAAACAGGGAAAATGGACTGGTCAGATGGGGGACATGTTTATTCCTACTGTTGGAACAATTGATTTAGTTGTGGTTAATACAAGTATCTAAAAGTGTCCTTTAACCAAAGTGAAGATAGTTCTGTTTTGGAACTACTGTCATTTAAGCAACAGTATGTTGCTTTATTAGAATTAGTTAGCAAATCAGCCTTTCAAGTGCAATGCAATCAGGGATTGTATAGGTTTTTTCCACTTAAAATTTAGTCTTTTTACCTTGAAAAAACTTAGTGTGGTATGTTCTAAGCAAATGACTGCAAAATAAGAGTGCTACTATAAGACACTAGACTGTTGGTTTTTTTTTTTTTCTAGAAGATTTTGTTACTATGTTTTTTTTATGTAATACTATGGGCTTGAGACAACAGAACTGAGTGAAAATAGATGGACTTCCATACTGTTCTATGTGTAATGCTTGTTTTGACTTGTACTGTAGTGTAATCCGAGTGGTATTTTTGTCTGCTAAGTATGTTGCTGATATATATGATATACTAATGTTGGAATAAATTTTTTAAACATTGCATTCAGCTCACGTGTAAATTTAATATCTAAACCTGGCAAATAAAGCAGTGCTTATTTTTAATGTGCTGTCAGCCTGTTTTTGAATATTCCAAGGTTGCAGAGAGGAGCTGAAGTGTGTTAAAAGTTAAATACCCAGTGACCCTCATGGGGAAAAGTATATTCGTACAGATTCCTGCAACTCATTGCAGGGTATCTGGATGCTGAATATGGATTTCCTGCAATTTTAACTTCACAGCTTTCTTACTCAGATTACTGAAGAAAGCCTCCACCTGACTGCCATCTTCCACTTGATAATCTCGTTGTGTAACAGTCTTTTCTGTCTTCCTTCATTTTCCTAAGGATGAATTACCAAGGAAAACCTGTACTAAATTCTGCATATGTTGTAGTCAATGCCCATGGACTGAGAGGGCTTGGGTAGCCTATGAGTGAGTTGAGCTTTCCAAATATCTTACATGAGAAGATGGTTCAGGGGTTCAGACTTGGCACTTTAATCGTCCTCTAGATGCAGTACAAGCAGTCCATGAAGACATATTCATTTTCAGCCAGAGTGCCTTTCCCTTCATTCTCTGGGTACTGTTTTTATTCTTGTGATGCCAGGACCTGAGGTGACTTCTCAAGTTCTCAGTCACGCATGCAGTTTTCACACACAGAGCAAGTCCTTTATCTGCATGCGCTTAAATAGCTTTGAGCTCATACACTGGAAAATAGGGCAGAGCTGAAACTTTCCCAAGGGACTGGTAGAATCTTACTGTTCAGAGATAGATACCTTTGCACCTTTCTTAAAACTCATTTCTGGCACTAGTATGGGGCTTTGGATTAAATCACACAGAATCTGGATTTGAATTTGTGACTTACTAGGCAGCAGCAGCACGTTACTTCTCCTGTTGCATCGCATTATCAGAACTTCTCTTACCAGACTTGATAAGGCATTTCCTTTGTAACTTTGAAATGATAAATTAAGAGAGATGCAATACCAGTAATTAAAGAAATTTGTGAGATGAATAACAATCTTGTCTGTATTTAAAAAAAGAAAAAAAAAAGATGACCAAAACAAGCACGGTACGAGTATGTATTATACTCCTATCACTGTGCTGCTTACTGAAGTGGGATGGGTTACTTACTTAGGTATCAAAAGGAAAAATAGAGTGTTAAAGACAGAAGAGAGACAAAGGCAGGGGCTGTTGCTATGTGGGGTATATGTCATCAAAGTGCTAAAAGTCTTCAGGTGCATTCAGGCTTTGCCCTTAGAGGTTAAACTTTGCTCCATTGTGGCTTGTGGCAAATGGGTGACGAAGTTCAATTTAATCCAAAGACAACTGTATTTTATAATAAAGAGTAGCATGGCAATGAGTGAGACACCTTCCACTAGACCAAGTTGCTCAAAGCCCCATCCAGCCTTGCCTTAAACACTTCCAGATGTGGCAGTCGCAATCCCCTCATTTATCTTGCGCGGTATATGAAGAGGTGCACCAGAATTTTTGGTGGGTGAACTTTTTGTATCAGAAAAATAGGCAAGGCATCTGATTTGCTTGGTGTCTTCATCTATCCAGATTAAAGGGTCTTTCTAAAAATGAGTCTGTGTTTATTCTATGCAAAACATGGTAGGGAGCCCTGAATAGAAGAAATATTTTGAACATGTGCCTCTCAATCAAACTGCTGTAAAATACAGAAGTAGAAAAAATATGTAACCTATTCATAGGTAGATCAGTGGAAAAGAAGGGTGAGATGTGGAAGAAATTATATTCCAACATCTGAAGCGTGCACATTTCATGTCTGCCTCAGATGTGTGGGCTCTGCAACACTCATCTAACGTTCCTCAAAATGTTCAATATTAAAAGAAAACTAATGTTTCTGAAAGTAATGTCTTAAACACAGCACTGAAAATATACTGAGGTCAGCACTAATGTACCAATGGCAGCTCCTGCAGTCTGAGAGCCCAGGTTGTAACTAGGAGATTTAGACTGATGAGTGGCTCAAAAGCAAAGGGGATGGGGTTGAATTTCCCAGCGTCTGATGCAGCAGAGATTGTACCAAGAGAAGGCAAAGACGGCCCTTACAAAGGACTCATTTAGACATGAAAATCCTTCCTTACCTAAACAGATGGAAAGATGTAA